GTCATGATCCGGATGACATCCTCAAAAGCCTGCTTCGAGGCCTCTTGGTGCATGAAAATGTTCTTGTCTTGGTGTACAGCTCTCACGGTGCTCAATTTGACAGGGCTTCCGGCACATATTCACGAGTTCCTGCACGGCACTCGAGGTCACCTTACGTAGTATGAGGAGACTATTGGCTGGTGTAACAAGTATGTGGCAGAGCCTCTCGTATNTTCGACATAAACTGATACATAATTCCTGTAGTTTCTCGCTGTCAACTCCCTGCTCAGGTGAGCCTAAGGCGACTTCTATGCTGACCTTGGTTGCTTAATATACGACTTCAGTTCTGTTGAAGAGGATTCCAATCTCTCGCTTTTCAACATATTGTGCACTAGGCAGTTCACTAACGTAGAGGTACGTCATCCCGCTGTCATCAATGCAGCTCTGTAGTCAGCGGCCCACCATTTTTTCGCACCTGTGCATTTCTCCTGCTATGTAATGTATTACACCCGATAAATAATATGCCACAGTTGTATTTTGATTGGATCATCTGCGGGTGACTGGTCTGTCACGGAAGCGAACCGATATCGCAGTGGATTGATTAGTGTTATGGATGCAGCCCATACAATCATTAGTCGGTCTGGCAATGTATCACAATAGTTGGTATAATATTATACCATGCATGACATTGTGTAGGCTGCTAGCCTCGCCAGCCTTGCATGCTCTCGATAGTCATATGGGCCTAGCTACCTATTTTGGCTCTTACACCACCCCGCTGATTTATCATCATGGCAATACAAGACTGTAAAACAATAGCGGTCTCTCGTAAGCTGGCCGGACCTTACAAGGCCATACGAGTACATGCATGGCCATACATAATGCGTTCCTTTTTGCTGATGACTGTATTGCTTACGCAACACTGAAAAGCGTTGGTCCAGTATCGTCGAGAATCGCGAGAGTGAATGGTTTCGTATGAACGTGGGGACAGCCTGATACAGCAGACAGATACATTGTACGCATGGCTGAGGAAACAACAGGCTGATAGAGTTCGAAACGCTCGCGGGTGGTCACAAGATCCATCCAGATCATGCATCCCTGATCGGGCACAGTGCCTCCGCGTCAAGTTGACATATCTACATCTTTACAGCTTCCTATCGTGCTTGCCATAGTCACCGCAATTCTTCCGCGAACCTTGCTTGACTGTAAGGCGGGCGGATTTTCCTTCCACAAAAGCTTAAACAGTACCCCATGGGTGAGACAGCCCGCCTGACCTCTCATGATCAGAACCCTGTTACGTTACAACGATGTGTTCTATTGCTATATAGTCTAGGACATCTGTCCTGTTGTCGTCTTGGTCATGACTACGTATAATATCTAAAGCTTGGATGCCTTGACCAAATGTGAGCGACCCGTTCCTGAGGGCAAGTGAACAGATAGACACTCACCTATCCCCCAGATCCCCCAAGTCCTCCCCGCTCATATCCACGTGTCCCTTCTCTCTGGCACCGGCGCTGTCCTCTCCTGCTGCGCGGTCCCGCGCCGCGTTGTCGCGGGAGTAGCTGTACCACAATGCGCTGCCCGCAACAAGCGCGATCACATAGCACGCGACGTTGATCGCGTGTCCCTGGACATAGCGCGGCGCCCACTCTGCGCGGTAGATCTGGCCCGAGATCGCGCCGCCAATGTTGCCCTGCGAGAAGATGAGGCCCATCGCCGTCGCGCGCTTCGACGCGCCCGCGAAGTTCGTCGAGATCCATGTCCATGAGATCGATATCGGCAAGAACCTGCACGGGAGGGGGAGAGAGAATCAGCGACACTGCACGAGGGAAGGGAACGACAACCAGCACGCACATGAACATGATCAGGAAGAACATGACGTAACGCGCAACGAGGTTCTCGACGGCCATGAGCGCGATGAGCGCAATGAGCGTGAAGACGATGCCTATGATGCAGTGCAGGAAAAAGTGTCCGTGGCGGTCGCTTGTCCAGCCGCCGATGAGCACAATGACGAAGCCGACGCCATACGGCGGGCACGCCATGAGCGTCGCGCGCGTGCCCTCGTACCCGAGGCCTGTGATCACGCTTGGGAGCGAGAGGATAACGCTGTACACGGGTATATACGTCGTGATGTAGAACAGGCCCCAGAGGTACACGCGCCAGTCCCGGAATGCCGCACGGATCTGGCCTGTGCGGAAATCGGCGCTCTCTCGCGTCGTCTCCGCGCGGTCGGCTGCGTTGGAGAGCTCGATGATGGCCTTTTCTGTCGGAGTGAGCCAGGAGGAGGTCCCGGGGTAGGCGGACATGAAGATGAACGCGAGCAGGCCAAACCCAGCGGTAATCACTCCTTCGACGATGAATATCCACCTTACCAACGCGTCAGCGACGTCAACATTGTGAAGGTGAGAGCGAGACATACCGCCAGCCTGCTATGCCATGGGTGCCGTCCAAGGCATGAATCGCGGTAGCGAGCAGTCCGCCGAATGCCCCAGTTAGGGAGACGGATGAATAGAGAACGGCAAAGCGCCGACCCACTATGTGTCGTGGGTACCAGCAACTCACTTGATTCGATCAGCGATGATTCAACAGAACGTAGTTGTCGGCAAGACTCACACCAGTACACGATACCCGGGATGAATCCTGCTTCAATAAGTCCAAGGAAAAAGCGCGCCGCCAGCAATCCAGACGAAGTATGTACGCGCGAGATGAGAGCACAGCACAATCCCCACAGCACCTGCGCAAATGTGCATGAGACCTATGCGTAGTTCCGGCAAGATGAATTGCGACATACCGTTATGGAAGGAATGTACCATCGAGGGCTTATACGTTTAAGTATAATGTTAGATGGCGTTTCGAAAACCACATAACCGATGAAGAATATCGAGAGCGCCCAGTTGTACTGGTTGTCTGTTAAACGGAGCGACGAGGCGAGACCAAAGACTTTCGCGTTGCCGATATTTGCCCTGCCCAGGCTGTCAAGGAATGCACTCACGACGCGCATAGCGTAATGGCTCACCTGTCAATATACGACGCAAGATATAACAGGACTGCGACGGGCATGATGTGGAGGTCGACCTTCCTCCAGGTCTTCTTGACAAGCTCTGGGTCGTACTGGTCGAGCGTAAGGGCCGCCTTCTCGAGCGCGACCTGCCCAGATTTGGCGTCCGATGTTGACGACGCGTCGTCGGCGCTGTACTTTTGGTTCTCGCCCATCGTGCTGCGTTCTAGATGGGGTGGACTGGAGGGAGGGGAGGAGGGCTCAAAACCTCGAATGCTCTTCAGGGCCTAGGTTATAAGGTTATCATCGCCCTCGTCGACGATGGCGTCGAGCGAGGGGTGGGAGCGTTATCTTTCTGCGATCCCCTGCGCCCATTTGTGCAAATGTGGATGCAAGATCGCGAATGCCCTGTTGGCGCAACACGTCACTTCGATGTTGCGATCGCGCACGTGACATGGGGAACTGTAGACGCCGATATTGTCCAATGCATAATCAGTTCGCGGAGATGAGGTAGAAGCAGGCGAAGGAGTCGGTGCAATGTGCATTCGGGCGGGGAGGATGGCTCTGAAGGAAAGGTGAGGTTCGCTGACCGAAGGGTATAGTGAGTATATGTGGACTGAGAAACACTGGGCGCGGAGTAGGGAGGGAGAATAGCAGTACCTGATTCGCGATGGCATCTCCTCAAAGTGGTGGTGTGATTACGAGCTCGCCTCAGCGAGCAATGTGAGGTAAGGTCGCATCCACCTAGCAGCCTCATATATTTGTCACCACAAAAGCTACACCGCACGGGCGGTGCTCGTGTGATGGCAGCCATTTCAAGTTACGAACGGCTCGGAAAGGCATGCATGGGATGGAGTGTAGAAGTCTAGCCAGCCGCACTGACGCTTTACTTCGGCTCTGGTGATGATTGGATCCCAACAACCGCCGTCGATAACCACGTTACGTACCTTCAAGCAGTACTTGAGACAAGAGGTGGATTTCGCAAGAAAACTCTTGGCAACGTCGTTTCACCGCGAGACTGCCATGGCTCTCATGCAACCAGCGAGTCTAGGGAGGTGATGGATGACTGGGAAATCGCTGCACTTTCATAGCCTCGAGATGTTCATGACGCAAAGCAATGAAAAGAGATGCAGTGTCGGCCAGAACGAAAGAGGCCTAGAGCAGACAGAATACGCTCGCTGACGAAGGCATTGGTGTCATACATGAGAATACGATGAAAACAGTATAAAGTACTTCTGGAAGTCTTTGTTTAGATTCCGATGGTCGTTGTAGTCGGCTGGTTAGTGCGACGGGGTTGTCGACAAGCGCCGTGCACCGGGAGATGCCGATACAAAGCGCCCGCCCTAACTTTCCTGTCACCTCCTCGGTGCGAAGTGGATTTTCTTTCATCCCAGTGTCGGGAAACTAAGATTATGTACTTCAGCGCTTTAGACACTTTCATGCTTTGTTATTGGCCTCGTATATGATGCAATTGCGTTTTTGTGGGGTGCATCCGCGCCTTCCGCCCTTGTTACCGTATTCATCCACCCATACAGTCCTCACTCTTCCAAAGTTACTATGTCACGTCAATATTGAAACCTTGACGTACTGCTTGAAGGATTGCAAACGACGCTCAGGATATCGAGCGAGTGGCGCAGGAAAGTCTACGATCACATCCCATGCTGCGCATCTAGATGGCGTTTGTATCGCGAGCGCGCATGGGTGCCTAGTCAGGCTCCTTCCCGCCGCTGTGGGAGTTATAGGGGCTCAATCCGACAAATTTGACGCAAGCTAAGTCCTGCAAACCCATCCGCCACACTTGCGCCACAATCCGGCTACATCCGAGGCAAGATCAAACTCCGAATCCCAACCTTAAACCCCCATAACTCCCTACAGCGGCTGGCACAAAACATCTACAAACAGCGGAGGAGCGGCGCATGCCACCTAGATTGGGAAGGCAGGATACTGGCCCATCATTACATAATCGTTACGGTCCCGTGTATTACAGTAGCGTTTATGTGTCCCAGTGTCGAGTCTCGTCGTCCTCGGTGCAACTTTGTGACCACGCCCTTCACCCCTCTAATAATAAATTTATACCTGGCTTTGACACAGATGCGCGCATCCCTGCCGAGGTTAATTTTCGTCCTTCTGACTGGTGAAGGCCTCATGCAACATCCCTTCGTTGAATAACCCATCCTCGGCCTGGCTGGCACTTCAAGTTCAGCACTCTCCATGCACCTGCGACCCAGGTTCTCGACTTTTGCACTGATAATGTGGCTTCCAAGATGCAAAGTGTTGCGAACAATGGGCTTTCTGCACGTCGTTGTTACATTCACTCATGGGGGTTGCGATGACCTCAATTGACGAAATTGAAATGTTTGGATGTCAATTATCATTTCCGGGAATCAATCCTGCCTCGTATGGGAGGTGCGGCGCCGGTCCTCCGCTGTTTGTAGATGTTTTGTGCCAGCCGCTGTAGGGAGTTATAGGGGATTAAGGTTCAAATGGAATGTCACATGATATGCACGTGATGGGATGGCACATGATCTGTGGTAAGACTTCTATTCTCGGATACACAAGATAAAACATTGAGTACGCTATTCGGATGAAGTCCCCTATAACTCCCACAGCGGCGGGAAGGAGCCTGGTGTCTAGTCGGCTTCCTACTACTACCCTTTCCCGCTCGTCCCTGCCAAGATCCCTATCTACTATCCGTACAGGCACTCTACGGATATCAGATTAGTTACCGGCTCATCCTTAAACATGTCGCTCGTGCTCTCTGTAGCCTCGCCGAATCAACGCCAGGGCCGCGTATCGGCGCTCTTTGTTCGCGAACCTCGTCTGCCTCCTCGTTTTTGCCATTACTCGTCCTGACAAGCTCGACGTCTACGCAGTGTACTCGCAGGTCATTATCCGGCATAGGGCGAAGCCCTCAAGCGGATATAAAACTGGATTTTTAATTTTAAAAAAAGCTCGACGTCCAGTCTCCCTTTGTACGCGCATCTTCGACGTGCCCGTTACACCAATGGGCTAAGTATTTGGCTCTATCACACCGTTTCTAGCATACGCTTAGAACTTTATTACTGCAGTATGTTACGTTCTTATTTCCGTTCTCTAGTTGATGAACTAGGTTGCAAACGAAAGAGAATGACACGCCACAGCACGAAGAGGACCCCAATATACGTGTCGTATCATTTATGAGGATGACTACATGTTGAACGGGCTAGACCATCGCTTACACTTTCACTGTGCCTGCATAAAAATATCCACAAGACACATCATTCTAATCACGTAGAGCGAGCCTCTGAGGCACGTCTTGCGCATCTTCCGTCTTAGATGCGATTATGTACGAAATTGTGTAGGCATCCCCAGATCCAACATCTGAAGCACCGTCACAGATGTACAGGATAATCGCCACGGGCCCTATGGGGTTTTTGGTAATCGCCAGGAATTTCGCGATGTTGGACACCGGAGACAGGAACTCCCCTGCCAGATGCGCTCGGGTCGAGTCGTTCTGAAAATTTCCATCAGCGTCCATTCATCTTCATGTCGGATAAGAACACGAACGTTGGGCTCCAGACCGTGATACATATTATAACAATGCCAGATGGGCGAAGCCCATTCGAACAAGCCCAGGACGGATAGCACAATCGGTCGCCAGAAAGGAGGGGCCTGAGCATTGCGCGGGCCCTTAAGCATTCTCTCGGAAGCCATGATAGCCCCGGTATACAGCACGGGAGCCGCCTAGAATATAGATGCATCAGTGGAGTTTCCCTATAACGCTCTGCCGAGCCTCACTTGTAGCACCCAAGCAGCAACAGCACGCTTGTCAGCATCAGTCCCTCCTGTCCACACAGTGGGAAAGGGATTCAGCGCCACGAAAAGGATGGGCATCCCGAGTCCAAATCCTAGCACATGCCAATGAGTCTTCAGTTCGAGAGGGTGAGCCCAGGTGTAAGGGAAACCGACCGTTGGTGACCCGCTTCAGGGCGTCGCCACCGAAATCTATCAGGTTGGCCTTTCCATATGAGTTGATGGCAAGCACATCCAAGAAGATATCCGGTGCGGCCCATAAGCGGCGGAGGAGTCCCAATGCGAGAGTCGTGCCGTCGGGCGCGCCCGCTGCAACTTGCAGGTGATATTGCTCTTCGATACTTGTCGCTTTGAACGGCGCGACTCCTGCAATGGCTTTGTATGCTATAGTGAACGGTATAGAGAGCGGAACGAATACGATTTCCCACAGCCTATGAGGGTTTCGCAAATAACTTAGGCGAAGAACTCCACAAATTTTGAAAATAGCTCACGTCAAGGATTTCCAGCCAAGGGCATCGAAGATCTTGCTTAGGATAGGGATCCTGATTGGCATGTCGAATATTGCAACGATGAAATTTAAGACACCACTGGCCAAAGCAAGGAACGCGTCCGTGAGGATGTGCGCCACATCGATCAACTTCGTGGAGACTGTCAGTAAGGAGCATTAATCAGCGGCAGCATACACGACGTACCAGGATGAGAGCATTCTTGAACACGGCTAGCAAGTCGCCGATGGTTTTACCGTCTATGAGCCCGCGGGTGGTTAGTGACTTGAGAAAAGTGGTTACGCTGATCATGGCATTCTTCAGATCATCAGAAATGTCCGAGGCGGCCACAGCGTTCGAGAAGGCCTGCCACACTGAAATCAGAGGGTCCAGGTTTGGGAGGCTGTTGCCCATGTCACCGCCTGGAGCGTTGAATATCTGATCCGTGCATTATGAGTTGTTGTGACGAGCGGCATTCGAGATTAATACCTTGTTCAACAGCCATGTCGCAGTCGACGGGAGATTCTCGATGAAACTCGAGACAGAATATCCAGTTTCAGTTATGTCGTTGTCGTTGTCGTATGTTCCAATAGCGACACCATTCATCTGCTCTATCACGCTATCGAAGTGCGCTGAGAGCCAGTCCTTTACATGAGCGAAGAAAACATCGACCAGTGGTGGTATCCGGTTGCGGAAGCAGTCTAGAGAGGGGCGATGTGTTCAGAACAAGAGTGGATGAAGAGGGTCAATTCACCTTTCGCATTCTCCACGAAAGTAAGCATCTTCTGACGGAAGCCTGCAGCAGTATTCTTGATATCATCCCAGTTCAGGAGGAATGCCAACCAGTTGAAGAGCTTCTGGAATGTACACTTGACCGCATCGAAGACAGATTTGACAAGGTCAAATCCCTGAGTTTATTTGTCGGTGAGCTGCGAGAGCTAGGATTGATATCGGACATACTTGTTGTACGAAGCTTGCTATTCCCTGCCAGACATACTCTAGTGGTAGAAGTCAGAAGCGTTACTGACCAGATTTGCATCCTAACTTGCCAACACCGTCCTTGATGAATGTGATCACCGCCTTTGCTGCGTTTTTGATCCCGGTGACAACGACATCGACGATATTTACGATAGCGGTCTTGGCAGCGCGGAAGATGGCTCCCCAAGAAGAGAGGAATCTACAATAACACGAGGTTAAGCCAATGACGGGGGAAAGTTCATCGGTAAATCAGTCATACCCAGGAAGCGTGGCTAGCTTCTCGTCGATTCGGCGCTGGGCCTCTTCCTGAGATAGATTCTCGACGGACAGCGTAGGTCGGAGCTTCAAGTGGAACGCCCGGCCAGAATTGCCATGAATGTGTCCAAGAGATCTCTCATGACGCTTGCGTGTGCGCGCGATGCCGGAACGCGTCCTCGGATGGATGTATCGCCTCGAGATTGATCCCAGAACCTCATTCCCGAGCTCAACCTGCTTCGATGAAAATGACTCCATAGAGTTGTTCAAGGCGCTGGCCATATCGGTGAGAACAGGCTCAGGTAGACTGGCGAAAAGGGATGCGCCGGTTGTCTGGTCCTTCGCTTCTTTGAGCCCTTCTATAGTGATATTAGCGAACTTAGTCTCCAGGTCTCCCGTTGCCTGGATGTCAACACGGTGCTCCGCCTCCATGCCTTCGACCCACAGCGTAAAGGTCGGGCAACTCAGGTCGTCATTGGCGGTAGCCGTAAAGCATACCTTCCCTTGTGCGTTTGTAACAGTCGTGTATGAACGCACGGCATCCACGGAAGTCGTGATTCTGCCGGAAAAGCATGATCATTGGGTATCCCAAGAACGTCGCAGTACGTACCCATTGATATCGATTTCAGCGTACTCCACCGCATTGACAACAGCGGTGAGACCTACCGTCCAAAGTCAGTAGCTAAACGCAATACTATACGGGCAGCGTTACCTGGCATCTGGATGCGATTCGAGTCGGTGACGGCGACTTCAACGTACCATACCGCCTGCTTCTCTGCATCAGGCAAGTCGACACTCGTCGACGTCACCTGGGTTGCGGTCCAGTCCGTCGTTGCTGGATCTTGCACGAGCGTGCTTAACACGCTCGTCTGCGCAGTTTGAACGTCAACGTCCGCATCCACGCTTTGCCCCAATCCGCCCGACGTAATCATGACAAGGTAGCGATAGCCATCTCCGGAGTTGCTGAATGCGAAACCCAAAACGGGCGCCGCGCTGATGATCAACGGATCCGTCCACTTTTGCACCGCGTAGTCGCCATTCGGAAGGGCAGAAATGGACGTGCTGGGAAGCGAGTCTGGGCCAGATTCAGCTTCGACAGGAGTGGACCCAACATGCCACAGGTTGCCCGATACGTCCTGGGCAATTATTTCTGCAGCGAGCCGTTGAGTGCTAGAGAACCACAATAAGCAGTGCAGCTTACCGATCCACTCGAGGAAGACGTTGTCTGCATCCAGTCCAGTCCGTCGCACTGCATCCATCTTCGTGTACTTGACGGTAGTGCCGAACGGGAGGACCTTATTGAACTTGCCTGTGCCGTCGGCTTGGAAGTATGTCGGCTGCTGGACTTCATTGATCGCAAAAATCAGTGGCTGAGCTATACTGCTTTCGACGGCTACGTATGCGAGAGAGCTGTATGTGCCCTTCGCAATGGTCCTCTACCAAAACGTCGTGGGTTTTGCACTTAAGACTATGCAAGAAGCAAACCGATGAGACAAACGCACGATTGCAGAGAATTGTCCGTTGCTGGTGACCGTAGCAACACCCGACTCAAAGGTACTATCGAGGAACAGTTTTCCGCTCAGGAGATAGCCCCATTTAGCGCGAGCTTGAATACCAGCGAAGCTGAAGCGCACAGGTGAGAGATTGACACAGTAGCACCATATGTAAGACATACATTTGGGAAACTTTGAAGTCTGTAACGGACTGGCTGGCGACGTGAACAGCGCCGTCAGCAGTCCATGTCCCAGTGGTCGGATTTATTAGAAATACGCGACTGTCAGACATTAATGCTGCGATCTGTAGTACGCCGTCGGAGGTATAGAACGGGGTCACAGCCAGCGGAGCGACATTCACGGTATTCTTAATCAGAGTCCAGGTTGGATAGCGTTGGTCTGTGTCCAGCGTATAGACGTTGGAGTCGCTGGCGACCACAGCGACGTAATCACCCCCAGACGGGAGCAAAAATGAATCAATATATTTGGGTGTAACAGATTGCGCTGTACAATGCAAATGTTGGCTCAGTTGAATACGGGAGACGGGTAGAGAAACTCACAAAATCGAGTGTTCTCGACCGTCCAGGTTTGGACGGTGTTCGCGTCGGCCTGCAGGTCTTGATAGGCATTGAAGATTGCAGTACCGCTGATGTAGAAAACATTGAGTCGTCCGTTGACATCGGTATTCAAAGCAAGGCCAGCTGTGGAGTTCAAAACGGACAGCGGAGACTGCACTGTCCAGTCCTCTTGGAGCTGGGTATGAGCGAGAAGAGAGACATCGCCATTGAGCTCTTGCATGGTGTTGCTTCAGTATGTGGAACAAGGTAGATAAATATTGCAGACGTACTCCAGAGTATTTAAACTCTCATGGTATATTGGCGTCGGCGATACAGTGGTCAATGACAGACGCTCCATCGGGGCAATTGGAGACGAGCATCTGTACAATTCGCTCGACGTGACTCCTTGCCAAGGCCCTGTTCGTGTATGAGAGTGTCCCATGACACGCCATGAACAAAGAAGGCTGTTGGGACTTGCGCCTTGAATCTACAGGTCGTGCGCTCCGCGCTCGGATGTCCGTGACATCGGTCGCGCATTCCTCACTAGAACCGGCGGTGGTGTGTCTCCGTCGAGTAGCTAAACGTAGCCTGACACCTAGCTACAGGGATTCCAGTACCGCTGGACAAACATTCAAGCAGAAAGGCACCTTAGGTAGAAGAACGTGTGAGCAAATGAACAGATAGTCTTACATTTAATAGCCTATGTGCTTTTCGCTAACAGCGTCGGTTCCACAGCATCTATTGTGGGCCTTAATAATCCTCTGAGGAAAGGCTCAACGTATACCGACCATGGTCAGTAGCTAGATGCTTTAAGCTTTTCAAGCTCAGGGGCGGCACTGCCAGTGAGCACACTAACAAGTTGGAGTTTTTGCTGAATTTGAGATAATTATTGACAGCCAGCTTATGCAGTGAATAACGTGTACGCTATACAGCTGAGCGCGTCGTGTCAAGAAGCCTTGCGATGCGCCATAGGTGCGCCGTTTCTTGCTGGAATGTCGGCGCTATCCGATGGAAAGTGAAGGATCGGCGCGGTGATTGCCGGCGGCACAGTTCTGATTCGGCCAGTTCTATGTAACTTCCTCTCCGCCTTACTAAGTTGCCTCTACCCAGGAGCGTATAGAGACAGGTGATGTCAAGTATTGTTGCTAACGGGGATCTGAGCCTGTTATTCAGCTTCTTCAATTCTTCCATTAACTATCGGCATGAATATGCGCGCCTGTCCTCTGAAGCAGCCTCAGCACGCTATGCCGATGTTTGCCCTTGACGAGTGAATTATTCCACCCCGTGGTCTCGGACTAAGAGTAGCCTTCGGACTAAGAGTGGCCGATCAGCTCTTTGAAGGGCTAGCGGCGCCACAGGTCCGCGGCAGTTCAGGACCCAGCAAACACGCATATTCAAAGACCGTAAGCGTAGGAGGTGTCTTGAAGCCAGCGCTCCATTACTTCCGACTGTTCGCGGAATGCGACAAGGCACAGTGCAGGCATGTCGACTCCGAGTCGTCATGTGGATGAGAACAGACACTATGCACCACGTATAAAAGACATCGGGATGGCTGAGTCTTCGTCACCAGTTTACACCATGTCTTTTGAACTCACTAACGGAATCTACCTTCGCTCCAGTACGTTGTCTGGCAGCGTTTTGTGTACCTTCACAGCTGAATTAACATGGGCTTAAGGCATCAATGCCGACTTCGCGAAGGACCCTCAGGTCCTGGCCGCTTTTGTGAGCATTTCGTTATCCCACTATCCGCGTCGCGATCGACCTCATGTTCTTTGTAGAGCCCCGACATAATCCCGTTGGGTCAGACGCAGCCTGACCACGAGGACTTGATCATCTCCTATGACCATTTCATTGCGCACGATGTCGATCCCGACGAAGCCAAGACCCGCATATATCTGAGGGGCAAGGCTGTCATCAACAAAGCTGTCGGTGGCGTCGAGACACAGGTGTCTCTCAAGGCGATTCCAAACGAGCTCATCCTCTGGCCTCAAGCTTGGACTAGCGCCGCTGACCTTGGCCAGGTCGTGCTCAAGGCATCAAAGGACGGCGAAGGCACGTCCTTCCAAAAACCACCCCATGTCGTCAAAACTGACATTCTCTGTCATGCACCCGTACAGTCGTAGCGACAGAGACCCCAATCTCATACAATCCGACGCAAGGCCTCGGCCGCCACGATACCTTCATTGCGAAGGCCACCAGCAAGAACGCCTCACTCGAAGACCTCGTACCCAAGGTGCAGAACTGGCGCGACTTGGTCAAGTATATCGGTCAGGATCCGACGCTGGCTACATACAATGTCGTCTTCGCAGACCCGTGCTCCACCAACGTCAGCTTGACCACTCGTCTCCGTCTCTTCGACAACAAGACCGACAGTGTCGACATGGTCTTTGGCATCGAGGTATGCAGTGAAAAACAGTAACGAAGATTGGATGCTGACGACCCCGTGCAGGCCGTAGGGATCCCGGCCAAGAACATCGATGCATCCTTATCCTGCTTTGGTGCCACGCCCGACTACATTCCGTTCTCGTTTGGGCATCAGCGCGTCCACATCGCGCCCTCGACGTTGCTAAGCACTAAGGCTACTGTGCCTGTCAACTTCGATGGGACGATTACGCTCAATGTGTTCAATGACACGCAGCAGACGTTCGGTGACTACTCGTCGATCTCTTTGATTGCGTATGCGGTCACGGTCGTCGACGGACAGGAGACGTTTACGACGCTAGGGGCTGAGCACGTCGTGTTCCATTCGAACATACGTGTGAAGAAGTTGCTGCGCAAGTATGAGGTGGCCAATGACGGTCCATTCTATCCCTTCTACTTTAGGGACAATTTGTCGGATGGCCCACACTTCCCAAGGGGTGGCGACGCATATTCATCTCCTGGTCCGTGGCAGTACCTGTCTGACACCTGTGGAGATGTTGACGCTATAACATAGATATTCAGCCACTGGGAGTTGTCCCGGATCCGGACGTGACATCCAACCTTGGCCCGGAGAACTATATGGTTGATGTCTCTAATAAGCGAAACGAGGTGTGTGTTATAGTCTGGGCCACCATAGATACACTGATGTTCAATTGATCTGCGGCTTCAGGTTTTGCATGGAGACAATTCGAACTACATCTATGTTCGCGCCACCACCGCTGCGCCTACCTCTGGCCAAGTACGGCTGTATGTCATTCCCAATGCCACGCTCCTGCATCCCTCACAGTACGACCAAACGGGAAACATTGTCTGGGACTACAACGAGAACAGCGAACCGCGCGTCGCAGTACGCTCGTATTCTACGGACGCTACCGATGCGCCCAACCCCATCCTTCTTCCTGAGCCGTTTAACTGCGCGGATCGCCCGCCACCGCCGGCCGGGAGTGATCATTATTGTCTTGTAGCAGAATGCAAGCCGGATGGCATCGGCCCAGACGGCTTCGAGTACACATGGCCACACCTGCAGGCGGGCGAGTTTAGGACTGCCGCAGAGTTTACCGCATGGGTCCAGAACGAGCCCTATGTTGCGTGGCGCAATGTCACATATGTGTCGAATCCAAATGCTGCTTCCCAAATTCTCAGGACCAGCTTCACTATTCCAGGTGAGTGCCTTGGGTAAACTGCTCGTGATCTCGCTGACAGCGCGTGTCGAGAAACCTTTACTCCTGCGGATCTGTGGACCTTCCAGGTCCGGGCCATCGAGTGCCCTCTTGGATCTGCGGTGTGAGTGCACATTTTCGAGCACTTACGATAGATTGTTGACAGCCACTGCAGTTCTATGGACTCGAGTGATCCACTAGTGCAGCTCAGCCCGCTCACTATCACCATCCCTGATGAGGTACGTCACGAAACGGCATGTGCGTAGTGGTGTACTGAACCTCCATCAACTTCCAGGCGGCTGGGCCTGTCTTCTCTGGTAAGAACCCGGGCTTCAACTGTCAGGTTGCCATCCGCTGGTTCGCGAACGGAAAGGAACCTCAGACTGGCCAACGCGTCGAGGGTAATCTCGTATATCGGTCCTACAAGACCACGTAAGTCACCTTCCCATTGTTCTACAAGCACAATTCTATCTCACATAATTTGGCTTTGGCTGGTAGCGCCCTGGCGTATCACCTCTACAAGCGCAAGAGTATTGGCAAGCCTGCCCAACCGTTCGAGTTGACTGTAGAAAATCACTACCCGAATCTGGAGATCCCCGGCCGTGAGCCCAAGAACAAGAATGATCCTCCGCAGATCGGCGGAGCGCACGTTCGCCGTGTGCTGGGTGACAAGTATGTTATTCCCGAGGGCGTTTTCATTGACCATGTTGTCGGCGCGGATACCCTAGGTTATAAGCTGGATTGATCCCGTGGTAATCTGACCAATGTCTTAGCCACTGTAACGATATACAGCTGTTTGTGTACTATTAGGAGTAAACACGGAAAGTCTTTGAATTGTGTAGTAGTTCCGATTGAGCCGAATAGCAAAGATCAAGTGAGATATTGTGTAACATTACCTTCGTTGCAATACAAGCCATATTGGTTGTCGGGAGACACCTAGTATTCGAATGATGGCCCGGTCAGCTTTGAGTGGTTTTAGACTGCCGCTTCAGCAAAAAGCCAATCTGATGATTGTTCATTCTCATTGTGCCCCAATCATTTCTGAGTCAGCGGCTATGCACAACCGCCCACTACCGGTAAGTCTCCCCTTGCTGTTGGCTTATTCTACTTCTATCCTGTAATACAGTCATAGATCTCATACGAAAGCCGCATCATGCACGACTACGCAGTGTACATTATGTGTCGCGTTCGCCCCCTTGTAGCACAACTGTGGTCTCCTGCTCACACAATCCACTCATTCCTCGCTCGCACCCGTGTTTGTGAACCGCCCACCATGTGTCTTGATAGTAAATTGGACCGTTCCTTTAATAGATCAAATCTCACTCATTCGTGGAACATGGCCGGACCCTAATTAGGAATGGCAGCTGGCACGTCGGCGCTACCGAGGCGAGTACTACACTAATATAGAACAGGGCGAGGGAGCCATCTTGTGCTCAATCTCAAATACCGCCTCTGAAACTAACTGACCTCCGCGCTTTCAGCCATTCAGACATTATTATGGAGCCCAACGATTCTGCATATATCAATGCGCTTTACTCCTACAGACGTCAAGGTACAAACGTGCGAGTGTCAGGAGCGGCGACGTGTACTGCAGACTCCGACAGACAACAAGACACGCTACGCATCAGGAAACGAGAGCTAGCCAAAGATCAAACGTATCGTACACGACAGCGTACTAAGAGATTGCAGGCAGCAACAGACAATCACCACAACACTATTGTACAGACCTGGAGGCAACGAGTCATAGAGCGTATTCTGCTGTGCTAAAAGGCGACAGAGAGCACGCAGAATACCCAGGCTAAGAACAGATTCAAGCCGATCCGATATTGTAGCCCATAGCGTCTGCCCCTATGATATAATCGATGTAAATTACCTCATTGAGTCTGTATTTCTCGCCCAAAACACGGCGAGGGTGCGCTCCGCCAATCTTGGGCGGCTGCTTCTCGCCAGTGTTGTCCTCGTCGGGGATCTTGACATTCGGGTAGTCGTGCGTGACAGTGCGCACAGAGGGGGCGCTCGGTTTCCCGGTGTTGCGGCGCCTGAAAAACTCGTCGCCCATCATCCTGTAAACGACAAATGAGACAAAGTCGCGTTGACCGAGGTGAAAATGTCGCTTACGACGTCATCATCGTCTGGAGTGCGAGATTACCAGAGATCTGCTGTCCGTTCTGAACCTGTGTCCCGTTGGCGTACCAGCGGATGACCACCTGACAGGTGAAGCCGGGAGCCTTCCCAGTAAACTCTGCACCCGCAGTCTGCAATCGTTTGACATCAGATGGTTCAAAATGTCCGTAGTCTATTCTCGTACCTGGTCAGAGCCGGTGATAGTCAACTTCCCGATCTTGATATCTGCATCGCTGGAATCCATTTCGCTGTGCAAGCTGTCAGTGTTTGCATCAACACGAGATGCAGAATAACACACATGTAGGATCCTGATGGGCAATTGAGGGCCTGAACCTGGAATATCCAGACGTCGGAGGCACTGAACGATGCTGCAAGGGATGCACGAGGTAAAATACCAATTTTACTCTGCAACGATGTGAATACTCACCCGGAATGGTGAAGCTCGTGTAGAAGACCTGGGACGGCGCATTCGGGTTGCTGATGTAGCACATGTTGCGCTGGCACACGCATGGGTTGCTCCGGATCCAAGCAGCATACTCTGCAGCCGTAGCGAAGTCCCCAGTTTCCTGGTGGGGCCACTCATAGGAGTAGCCATTAGCATCGAGCCCATCTGGCCTACACTCGGCAATGAGACAGTAGTGGTCCCCTCCGGGAGGCGGCGGGGGGTCGGAGAAGTTGAATGGCTCCGTGAAGAGAACAGGAGCCTCGGGCGAGGTTGTGTTGTAATTCCGAATCGCAACCTTGGGGTCTCCCCCAGACGTATGGTCGTAGATGATACATCCCTGCGTGCTGTACTGCGACGGATGCAAGAGCACTGAAGAGGGTATAGCAAACAGCCGCACAGAGCCAGAAGCCGGGACGGTAGTAGTGCCGCGCAGATAGATGTAGTTGGAGAGATTAGCAACCAAAGACTGTGTGTAGCACGATTGTGAACAATCGAGCACTCCCAGAAGACGATTGAAACTTACAACGTTTCGTTTATCAGACACATCAACCCTGTAGTTGGCCGGACCTAGATCAGACTGTACGTTGGCATCCGGCAACGTGCCCCAGGGCTGAATGTCTAGGAGCCGGAACAGTTAATGATAGTCATCATGACGTATTAATATGTAGCGACATACCAGGTGAGAAGTAGTATGTTCCGTTTCGCGGGAACTGATCCCCATCGGTCACCTGGTCTCTGAAATAAAAGGCAGGAGCGGTAGCTGGATTGGTCGCTACAGCAGCCTGACGGATGCGAGCGAACTTATTCAAAACCTTCTTCACGCGCGTGTCCGAGTGGAAAACAATGTGCTCAGCACCCAGCGTGGTATACGTCTCCTTCCCGCTGACCGCCGTAACAGCGTACGCGATAACGGAAACGGAAGAGTAGTCGCCGAACGTCTGCTTCTTGTCGTTGAAGACGTTCAAGGTTACCGTACCGTCGAAGTCCTTAGGCAGAATGGCAGGGGTGGTGAGCAACTTGGAAGGGAGAATGTTGGTGCGGGACAACCCAAACGTGAATGGCTTGGATCCAGTCGTGGCGCCGAAACCGACCAGAGAGACGTCGATATCGCTGGCCGGAGTACCGATGGCCTACAATTTATCGGCATTAGGACACGACTTGTCAGCAATCTCGAAGTCCAAGTAATACCTCAATTCCGAAGGCCATGTGGACCGAAGTAGCCTGGTTCTCAAAGAGCCTGAGCCTTGTGGTCAAGCTGACATTCGTCGAGCACGGGTCGGCGAAGACCACGTTGTACGTGGCTAACGTCGGATCCTCGCCCACAAGCTTCACAAGGTCACGCCAGTTGTGAACCTGCTGCGCAAGTGTTCCCGCTGCTTTGGCGACTCCGGTAGTGCACTCAGCGATCAGAGTGTCGTGACGACCCAGACCTTGACTCGGGTTGTACGCGATAGGCGTGTTGGTCACAACGACTGTAGTTATGGAGAAGCTTTCTCAGTACCATTACTTTGAGTATTGAGTGTGCAATGTACCTTCTCCGTCCTTGGACGCGCTCAGCGTGGCCTGACCAATCTGAGCTGCGTTCTCCCAAGCCTGAGGCCACAGGATGAGCTCGTTAGGGATTGCCCTGAGCGAGACCTGGGTCTCGACTTCCTTGGCGGTGCCATTGATGACCGCCTTGCCACGCAGATAGATGCGCGTCTTGGACTCGCTGGGATCAATCTCGTGTGCAATGAAGTGATCATATGCGGCGACCAGGGTAGCGGCATCGGGCTGCGTGTGACCTAGCGGGATGATATCCGAGCTCTGACAAAGACTCCAGTTACAAAGGGTGAAACGAGGCGCCTCAACAAACGACTCACGAAGGCGGCCAGGACCTGAGGATCAGTTGCAGGCGTAGCATTGATAGCTAATTGGTGATGTCAGAACATCACCTCTCGGGAGAGACAGGAGCGACCTACTAGAGCGAAGGTAAACGCCGTTGGAGATCTGAGAGGTCATGTCTGCTGTTTCGATAGCTTTCGAGTGAGACTGCTGAGCTGGATGGGTCGTTGAGGCCAGCCTTTATACGCAGTACTAGCCGGGAAGATGTCTAAAGGTGTGAAGGCGACGCTGTTCCATGCCATGCATATTACATAGTTCGCCTACCCCGGACAAGGCAAGACGTAATTTCAGTCGTCTAGCCGGTCATGAGGGCCAAGGCAGTGTCCGACCTCAGACGTAAATGTGATAGTCTTGTCGCATGTTTGAATGGATGCTATGGGCCGTGGTTCCTCTTTCCCAGTGGCGCCGTGTATAAGGCGTTGTATACGCAATGAGGCTCGAGAACAGAGTCCGGGTCTAACTTGTGACACGTTGATAATAGACGGTTGAACATCTGAATGAAGAGACACACTTCCTTGCAGACCTGCCTTCCCAATACTGTGGGTGAAATGACACAAGAAGTGAACGTCTACTTAATGAACGCCGTTAATTACGATATGGCTTACTATGCTTCCAGTTGCAAACAATTTCATTATCCTACCCATGCCCGCTACGATTCCGTCATAGCATCACGGGCGATGCCACAATTTGCATGCACACACCATCCGCCCAGCGAGGAGCAAAGCCATTGAAGGATCGACACAACGTACCAAAATTAGAGATTGCCAAATCATTGTGGCGCTGCGGTACATTGCACGAAGCGAGTAAAGTGTCTTCCATCATCATCTGACGAGAGAACTGACAAGATATCAAAAAAATCATTCGGAGACAACCTACATGTGAAATCAACCAGCACACTTCTATTCCAAGAAGACATGCCTTCGAAAGATTCTTGAGCTGCAGCATTCTGAGAACCTGCTGCTAGTTACTCATCTTGCCTGGTCCTACGTTTGGTTTCGGCATCAAGTGAACATGAGTGGAAGGTTATTGGTAGCATCGAGCCTTAACATCGTCAAGTCGTGTAGCAGCAGTAATCCTCGTATCTACATGGGCAGCAATTCAGCGCATTCAATCTCAATCTAGAAAGTGGATGGAAGATGGGTCACGAGTGCATGCATCCTTCCCATATATGTGGCCGTACCTGACGTCCCATTCATGAAGCCTATTGGATACACAGCTTCCTGTAGGCTCTAGACTTTATTAACCGCGTGGGGAAAGGTGATCGGCGGTGATTGCATACCTGCTCGCGAATAGTCTTTGATCTCAGCGTGCTAATTACTTGCACTGAAAGACTGAGTCCACTATGTTCGGGGATCTTAATCAGCCCTCGCCTAGAAAATGTAGCTGAACAGATGCGGTTCAAGAGTAATAGAAGAGAGCAAAAGAAGCTCTCGGGATAACCTGACAGTTGGCCTTCCGGTAATTCCCGAGCCTCGCAGACGGATGTTGGCGAGATGGGTCGACATTATGGTGGTGAGCTGCAAATCTTCTCGGCTTCACAGGCCATGGACTAGAGCTTTCATTGAACGAACGTATACAAGATTGCAGCATCGAAGCTGACGAACTGTATCAGACGCCTGATCAATGCTTACCACTATGCGCGTCGACCAAAAACCTGACGGCGATCACCGAAATGTCGATCGTGTCCCATAAACGGCAAGCTTATCGACAGAAACCCTTAAATTCATCTCACAATGATAAACAGCTCGCATTCTCAGTCATCGAAGCTATCCAATATAATACACAAGAGAGCAGGGTGCGCATAGCGTGTTTTAGTATATCGAACTGTGTGGGATGCCAGCGTGTCAAAGTGCTTGTATTGGTCGGGAGGTTCCACGTCAGTAAAACACTAGGTTACTGTCACGAGGAGCGCCTACATGATGAAGCTTGAAAGTTGAAGCTTGAAGGACCGCGCTACTCTTATGCGTCAGCTCTAAAAGAATGAGGGCAGACTTCGAACCGTAGCGTAAACGGATGAACTCGGAGGATAACAAGACAGGCAGTCACGTTACAGGGAATCAATCTCTTCCTATTCGTCGCTGTCGCTCATCGGCAAATTCGAACACTCTCACCTCTGATCTCAGGCTCTAGACTCACGCAGACTTCCCCTCCGCTCCAGGCCTCAGATATTCGCAGACTCATACATATATATTGATGACTACACAATATGTCTTTAGATTATGCAGAGGTGCGTTGTACACAGTTCTGGTACATTCCAGCATTCATTCCTCGGCATTTCATCTGTCTCCCTACAGATGGCCAAGCGGCCCTCACGCACACTAGTTGTGTCCGTCGTGGAGCTTCAAGCCCGAGGATGCATGCGCTAGCAAGTATCGGCGATAACCATCAAATTATCCCGTGCTCCAGTTCTACGGGGGGACACGTACAAGCCTGCTCATGCATCGCTCCCGATTGCATGCATGTAGGAATGAGGGTTCCCTCAGGAACACAATATGCAGGGATGGTGCGGATCTCCTCGTGTTCTTTCCCGTGCCGGGCGTCCGTACCGACGCCCTATCACAAGACCTAGCGCAAGCTTCCAGTGTCTCTAATTATCTCATGCACGAAGTGTAGGGGAGAAGAGTCACAATTCGGTGCGGTACCGTGACTGAACTGTTACACGCGGCCCACGTCAAAGCGACAACGAGGCGCGTTGTTCAGTCATGCTGCACCTTGTTTCCTCGTGGAAGTGCGGAGCTTGTCTATACGTAAGCGCGATATATGCATCCAGCCACATAGCGCATGGTGGGCACTCGTATACGGGCGGAGCCATCTGCGGGATCTTGAAGCGCTACGAAGCGGATCGCGAAGGCTGTGTTGCTCTGTCTTCATTCATGGAGGTGATTAGTAGCACTTATGATCCTGTCGTGCTTCGGCACGCCTTACAGGAAGCTCCTCCCTGTTGTCGCTCCGCCCCGGCGGAGATGCAAGAAGCATTTCTAGTATGTATGGTGTCGCATGGTAAATATTCTTAAGGTTCATCGATATGAATGCGATGGTGGTCATACCTTGATGTTTGTGGTCCAATGTTGGTTACGTGAGAGCTTACATGTACCCCGAGGTGAACGTTTATACAAATTGCTGTGCAAGGGCCGCTTCTGACTTCTGCCATGGGACGCTTTCGGGCATCCGGCCAGTTATCAGGCTGCATTGGGGTGCTGACGGCCGTACACGATCACAAGTTTTTTATGCAATGTCGTCCTTGAGCGCGGTATGCTGAGAGTTGTCCGTCTGCCCATGGACGCGCAGCATTGTGTTGCTGTATGGGGTAATGCGGGAACATAAGCGCCTTGGGGATACTTCGTCGGCGTCTATCCAAAGAAAGCCAGGCACGGATAATAACCCATCGCTGGCATCCTCTATTCCGTCAGGACGCGCTGCATCTCCTCCCCAACATCAGCCCAGACTGTAGTGGTACATCTACACCGCACGAAAGTGCTGCAGTATGCAGCTAATCATACATGTCAGCCCGGCGAGTCATCGACTGAACTCAGCCTGCACCGCTCGTGCACGCGCAGGAGAGGTATAAGATACATATTCCACAACCTGGAAGATGTCTATCGGAATCTAACGCTTTATCGTTTATCCTCCGTACACCCATCAGATATTCCCTCTACCGCAATATTTAGCATCCCTTAAGGTCAGACATGTACGACGGCAGGTCTTCGTGAGTCCCGGAGTCAATGCTGAGCCATTCGCCATGATGTACCGCTCAGTACTCACCTGACACCAGGTACGGTGACGCAAGCCTTGAAGACGAAGCCTCCGTCGAAGCTAAATCTGGGTGCGATGCATACGGCCCGCTGCCGAGAACGTGGTAACGCCAAGCAGATCTCGGGCTGGATACATCTCAGGAGTGGGCCCAGACTTACACCTCTTATCCCTTTGAATATACCAAATATGCTGCAAGGGGAATCCAGAAGGCGCCGGAGCATCAGGCGAACTGTCCAGCGGGGCAACGGTCTATGATGACGTCAGATCAGTCTCAAACGTGCATACATTTTCTCCTTCAACCCCAAGATTAAGCGACCGTCGTCTGCAACGCAAACGAGGATGAGTCACGCCTTCAGGACGAGCAGGCCATATTCACATCACTTCGCTTCGATGATCATGGCGCGATATCGCATCCTTCCAACACTGAAGAGGGCAGAGCTGGTTTTACGGAAAGTATGGCTCTCGTTTTAGGAACAACTCGCTAGTCGGGACCTGCGTAGGTGTCTCTGAACTGACCGCAGCGTAGAAGGATGAGGCAGACTTGTACGTGTTTGAATTCCTTGCGCATCTGAGGCAGCCTTATATATATATATATAACAGGACGAAAACTACTCTTCGACACACATATGACCCTTCTCCCGCATCAGCCTTCATGTACAGCCAAGGCCTCATGTTGCGACTCAGCGAGCACACATCCATGTGTTCTCTTGACCTGACGTCAATTCGGAGTTCCTGTTGGATCCGTGAGTACCTAGCGTGCTCATGGACATGATGCTGAACACAAGGAGACAGATCTTCCTCGTCCAGCAAATACGCAACGGCGCCGTCCGCGGACAACGTGTTCCCATCGAGCAGCCGAGAGATTCTGTGGAGCTGGAGCCAGATGTCAATCTCTGCTCCTCCACGATATCCAAAAAATGATGTGCAGCGTACTCGTAGTATCTGTGAGGACGTGCCTCTGTTCCAAGACCCATTCAGCGGAGACACTATAACAATGGTCAATAATTCTTTCAACGGTGAGCGCGCATTAACGGTTCCTTTCAGACCTTGATGGAAGTGCTTCCTGCAGAAGTGGATATCGCGAAAGGTTTCCCTCAGATCGACCTCCAGTCAAGCGGAGTGAAAATAAATGCAGATGGCATGTATGTTCTGTCACGTTCTATACGTCGCGTCCTGTGGTCACAGGAACAAGAATGGGGCTGCCTTTCTGGCAGGAACCTGATGTTTCTTCCTTTCCATCGGTGGTCGGGTGCGCGATAGCTGCGTCATGGCCCCACCTGAGGCAAGAACCTGCAATGTCAGCATTGCCTTTTGAAATCACAGAAGACACTACTCGTGGTACTACTCAGGATGCAACGTATAGCGAGGCTTCCCTACAAAATAGGTTCCTGACGCTGGTGTCAGGACTAAGCCTCACCGGAACGTTCGGTATATCGGAACCAATGAAGGAGGACGAACATGACACGTAAGTCAAACAACTGGATTTCCATAGCGCGCTGTGCTGACCGCGACAAGGTTACCAACACTCCGGCATTCGGAACGCATTCCAAGTGGCGCGTCGGGCACAGCGTCATGGTCAGCTCGGCGGCGGTTCAAACCTGCGTACCCCTTTGCTAAACTGACACTTCCGGTGGAACCTTGGGACATGGTGCTCGACTGCATTTTCGGTGCTGAGACCAAGGAGCTTCTCAAGCTCTCACTCGTCTGTCGGCACTGGTGGACTATGTGCAGGCCCTATCTGGTGCGGAACATCGTGTTCAACAACCGAGGCGACGTGCTCCGTGAATACCGGACAAGACGTCGTGACTGGGCGGGGCCGCGCTATGTGACCATCAGAGGCGCAGAGAAAACGAGGTCGCTCGGCCACTTCGGATTTGTGGCAGCCCTGTTTGGTTATGTATGGCAGAGCGTGCGTCATGTGGTTATCGACCATGGGGACTGGCGGGCGGGCGACTTCCGTCAGGACGTCTTCCACCACCTTCATGCCTTGATCAAAATTGATGTTTTGAGGGTTCATGATATCTCATTCACCTCGGGTGCTACTTATCGCAGCCTCGTCTCTCACACGTGTCTTTTGAGACAGGGATTCCGAGTAAAGACGCTTGCTCTCGCACAAGTAAGGTTTGAGGATGCATCGATGCCTCCCATCTCCCTCTTATGGATGAGTCGTTTCAATTCCAGTCGTAATCTATACGACGCATCCGTTGGCTTTGAGCTTGACCACTGAAATGCCACCGCCCTTGATGTGATCGCACATTGGCTGCTTGTTGCTCCGGACATGGACCACGCGTTGCTTTGAATCATATTGCTTTCATTGGGGAATCATGACGGAGACCGCCTTGATACTGTCCCGCTCAGCATCCCATTCCTCGAAATGGTTGGACCATACACCCGCCATATAAAGCTTAATTGGAGCTTAGGTAAGAACATTAATGCCATATCATCTTGTCTCTGTGTTGATGCCCTCCAGCACGACGTCTGTCCCTACCTCGATGCCCAAGTGTGTTCACGCACAACCAGAGGACGGGAGGTGTCATTTTGAAGATACATGTCAAGGACTCAATGTCCCACGCCTGGATCATAAGGGCGGTCTCACGCCTCTGGATGTCAGAAGGTTTCCTGATTGATGACCTTCTGATACTTCATCATCGATGTCCACTTTAGCCACGGAACTGTTGTGCCCAAAGGCCCAAAATGCGAGGGCTGTGCCTTGCATCACAGATCGCACTGTCCCTCTACCGGACCGAAAGTGCTGGACAACATCATGGCGAGGCTGAAAACTGTCTGCGACGTGTTGGATCGTGTCTTATGGAACATTCGGGATATACGCCCCTTCTTCTTATCCTTCGATCTTGGGGTGAAGATTCTGTTGAAACACGCTGACCCGCGTGGTGAGGAACGAGCTCGCAAGCTCGGGCGCGCGAGTAGCCGGGGGTCGGAGGCCCCTATCATAGTATATAACGACCGCGCGCGATGTACATACGCTACGCGATTGTCCCTTACAGGCATCGCTACGCCCGTGGACAAACGCGCCCCGCGCCATCGCACCCTTGTTCCAACAGATTCGGATATGCAGCTGTGCTCGATTGGATGCAGGCATCTGTATGCCTAGACTTTGCACATGGTTTCCAAAGTCAAGGATATCCAAAGTGTTAGCTCACGATCGTTTGTGAGCATCACTTTGTTGACGCTGTGGCATGCATTGATTGGTAGCGGACAGTCGCGATAAGGATCGAAGGCGTCCTCACGGACCAGCACTAGGCCTCCAGTGCAGGCATTGCGATACACCCCTCTGGACCCGAGAGGATGAAAAATCAAGCTAGGTGTTCTACATACCTGCCCCGCCGAGCTTCCCCGCCGTTTCCAGGGGCCATACAGCGTTTCTACAAGCCTCATGTACCCAGTGGTACACGCCTATAGCATCGAAAGGCACGGGCACGTTGTCGGTCGCACAAGTAGCTCGGACCGGTTACCAGCTGACCGGCTATGACAATTCGTTCCTACATTAATACCTCTGCGCTGCTCGTACTACTTGTTACCACTGTTGCTACTCGAACAACTCCGCCGGGGAGCCATGGTAACAACCATCCTGCCGTCATCTCGGTCAAACCGCGTCTACATGTATTCGTGCCAATCTGCTATCAGACAGACCGTCGGTTTCTGGCCCGTCTTCAGCGTCCTCTCCCGAGCCTCGTACCGCCATCACCTCCACTCACCCCCACCTCTATGCCCTTGGCGTCGACCGCCTGCCCGCGATGCAGCATACCTGTTATCAATCTTGCAGTCCGCGAGCCCGTGGACGACGTGCCTGCCAAAATGTCTGAGTCGTTGGGCAGCCGACTGCATTTTCAGAGGTGCAAGAGGACTATCGTGAGAAGAGCTGATGCTTGTGTTGGAAGTACAGTCGAAACTTACAGTGGTAGATCACATGATCGTGTATGGTACAACACAGATCGCTCTGTATGTTGTCCTTGACGTGCTTGCTGGCTACAACCTGGGTCAAACACGATTTAGGCTATCGTCTTCATTCTCAATTTCTGCCGAAGATCTAACTGTTTGATATGATTCTGTCAGCCATATCTCTCTAGTTTTGCTTGACCACTACCCAGGATACATGTCGTATAGTGTTGTGCCTGGCTTGACTTATGGGGCAGGCATAATTGTTCGCGACATAGTAGTAATAGTTCACCTGGCATCAATGTTAATCCACACTATAAGGGTTTTTGAACATCCGGCCTCAAGATGCAGTGGGGCTCCCATAAACAATTATCAGGACAGAGAGCTACACTTTCTGCCGAACTACATCATATACAGTGTGCCGTGTTCCAGTAGTACATGGTCGGATGACAGCCATGATCGACTTCTAGGTCAAGTTGTGGCCCCAGGTGTCTACACCGACGACATAGTCAACATGAATTCCCCCAGCAACGCTGTACTTGTCTCCGAGCACACGGCGGACGTGTGCCCCTCCGACCTTCGGGTGGCCTTTCTTTCTATCAGGCATCTCCAGATTTGGGTAGTTGTCCCCAACGGTCACCTCGAATGGTTCAGCGAGCTTTCCGATATTCTTGCGGCAAGTAAGGTGATACGCCAATGCACTATGAAGTAAAATATTCACACTGTGATAGCATCCGCAGTACAAAGATGTGCACTTACGTAGTGACCACGGTCCTGTAGACAAGGGATGCTACAATGCGCTGGCCAGGCTGAGCAGACTTGCCATTCGCAAACCAACGGATCGCGATCTGACAGTTAAATCCCGGCGCTTTGCCGGTGAAGATTATCCCGATCTCCTGATGACCAAGTGAATGTAAGCCATGAGCTATACGTCATTTGTGTCGGCCTACCGTTTCCGGGGTTGTGATAGTACGAAGACTGTACTGAATCTCTGGATCGCTCGAATCAAAAGAACTGTTGGTGTGGGATGAACACTATCACGGTACCATCAGATATTCAGCTTACATAGCGGAGCCAACAGGACAGTTGACAAGCCGGACGCGGAAGACCCAGTAATCCGTGGGGCTGAAGCCCTCTAAAGACATTGTATGAATGAGGGCCGATGAGGCCACATAAACGTACTCACCCGGAATAGTGAAACCAGTCCTGAGGACGTAAGACGCTGCATCCGCGTTTTGCATGTATTCCACACTACGCAGAGCTACATAAGGTCCATTCTGGACCCACGCAGTAAACTCAGCCGCAGTTCTGAAGTCGTCCACCTGCGTGTGTGGCCACAGGTACTCGGCGCCATCCGGACCAGTGCCATCCGGCTTGCATTCGGCCACAAGTGAATAGTGGTCATGTCCAGCCGGTAGAAGCGGTCTGTCCGCACAGCTGAACGGTTCCGAGAGGAGGATTGGATTGAGCGAGGCCGCGGAATTCGTCGAGTAAGACCGGATTGCGACATATCGCTCGCCGTCATCATTGTAGTCCCAAACAATGTTGCTCTCCTGATCATACAGCGAAGGGTGCAACAGGATGTTGTTGGGAAACGCGTACAGCCGCACTTTGCCTGAGGTCGGAGCGGTAGTTGTGTCACGGATATAGATGTAGTTGGAAGTATTCCCATGCAGGACCTGCAAGTGTGTTTGTCTCTTGCCATGAGAAGGACGATGAAGGCGGTAACATACCTCATTGCGGGTATTCGAAATGTCAACATAGTAATTCTTTGGACCGAGGCTTTCTTCGACGTTTGGGTCCGGAGTAACACCTAAGGGCTGAATATCTGCGATATATTGTTAGTAATAGTACATACACCGTCAGGGGCATTTACGCCACATACCAGGAGATGTATATGCGTCGCCACCCTTGGGAAATCTGGGCCATCCGACAAATTGTCCCTAAAGTAGAAGGGATAGAATGGACCGTCATTGGCTACCTCATACTTGCGCAGCAACTTCTTCACACGTATGTTCGAATGGAACACAACGTGCTCAGCCCCTAGCGTAGTAAACGTCTCCTGTCCGTCGACGACCGTGACCGCATACGCAATCAAAGAGATCGACGAGTAGTCACCGAACGTCTGCTGCGTGTCATTGAACACATTGAGCGTAATCGTCCCATCGAAGTTGACAGGCACAGTAGCCTTAGTGCTTAGCAACGTCGAGGGCGCGATGTGGACGCGCTGATGCCCAAACGAGAACGGAATGTAGTCGGGCGTGGCACCAAAGCAGGATAAGGATGCATCGATGTTCTTGGCCGGGATCCCTACGGCCTGCACGGGGTCGTCAGCATCCAATCTTCGTTACTGTTTTTCACTGCATACCTCGATGCCAAAGACCATGTCGACACTGTCGGTCTTGTTGTCGAAGAGCCGGAGACGAGTGGTCAAGCTGACGTTGGTGGAGCACGGGTCTGCGAAGACGACATTGTATGTAGCCAGCGTCGGATCCTGACCGATATACTTGACCAAGTCGCGCCAGTTCTGCACCTTGGGCACGAGGTCTTCGAGTGAGGCGTTCTTGCTGGTGGCCTTCGCAATGAAGGTATCGTGGCGGCCGAGGCCTTGCGTCGGATTGTATGAGATTGGGGTCTCTGTCGCTACGACTGTACGAGTGCATGACAGAGAATGTCAGTTTTAACGACATGGGGTGGTTTTTCGAAGGACGTGCCTTCGCCGTCCTTTGATGCCTTGAGCACGACCTGGCCAAGGTCAGCGGCGCTCGTCCAAGCTTGAGGCCAGAGGATGAGCTCGTTGGGGATCGCCTTGAGAGACACCTGAGTCTCTATACCACGTGTGTACTTGCTTATGACCGCTTTGCCTCGAATGTATATGCGGGTCTTGGCTTCGTCGATATCAATATCATGCGCGATAAACTGGTCATAGGAGCTGATTAGATCTTCGTGTTTGGGCTGCGTTTGGCCCAGGGGGATGATATCTGGACTCTGTAAAGTATGCGGGCTTAATGTCAACGCAGACCGTGGCGTATGAATAACTGCTTACAAAAGCCGCAAGGACCTGGGGATCCTTGGTAAATTCAGCATTGATGCCTAAGCATGGTCTTATTTCTTCTCTGTTTTAGAACGAGGCAGAGGACGTAGACGTACTAGAGCGAAGGTAGATCCCGTTGGAGAGCTTTGAAGACATATTGTGGACTGAGTGGCGAACCCCTGGCCACGACAAGTCCCTTTTATACGTCCAGCATCTGTCCGTACAATGTCCGCAGAACGCACCTGATGCGACGTAAGTAGATCTTGACTTAGGTACGTTCCGACGAGCGGAGGTACCGCAGCGCCTTGTTTAAAGACTCGCCATGGTGAGGTGACGGGCGTCATGCCTTCTTAGGTACCGATATCTGCCACCTGTCTCTCCTCCGCGGAATTGCGGCGTCACTGAGCTTTCGATGTTGTGATGGGAAACACAAGTCCGATAGAATGACAAGAAGCAGCGCGTCTTCAAGCGAGCGACCCTGAAGCCATTCCGCAGGACGGTCCCTGGTGACTCGGAGATGGGTTGACGATATAGTGATGAGCTTCCAATTGCCTCGGCTTCACATATCATAGACTAGAGCCTTTCATTGAACGAACATATACAAAATTGCAGCATCGAAGCAAGTTACAAACTGTATCAGACCCCTGATCGACACTTGCCGCTATGAGCGCCCACACAAGTAAACGGCGATCACCGAGGTGCCGATCGTATGCCTTATACGGTAAGTTTTCCACTGTTTGGTATACCTGGCCGAGAATATTCGTGCGCAAGCGGCAGAATTCGCTCGTGACTATAGCCCCGACCTGGCTGTATCCTGAAAAGTATCGTCACAGCCATATTTCACCAAAGTAGGCCGTTGTTTCCAGGGCCTGCCCATTCTCACCCGAATTCCGTTTGCGCGCACCAGTTCGAATTCAGGCTTTCAGCAGGTCTGACGATATTAATCAGCTGAGTGATTGCGACACAGTGTTAATCTAGTTTCTGTCATCCGAGAGCGTGACATATCACTGTTGCCGTACACCAGGCCTGAGGGCCACGCTTCAGCATATAGTTCTTTATTTTTGGTCTCTGCTTCCAGCAGCGAGGTCTGGCGTTAGAGTATGTGTCTCGGACCTTGCGGATGCTTGCCACTACCAGAATAATTCACTTATTCCGCTAGTTCAGCGGCAACGTCCTCTTTTTCCCGATATTCCAACTGTCTGGTCGGCTCTACTGGTGAATGTGAAACCGATGTCGCGGACTTCCGAGCTCGGAGCGCACGTTCTATTCAATCCAAGTAGGTACAATCACGAATCTTAGCAGATTTATTTGCTCATGCAATGTCATGGGAGTCTTTTATGCATCAGCAGACCAAGATACTGTTATTGAGCTCTCCGGCATGATATCCTCCGTTGAGCAATATACTGCTGGGCTAAAGATCCGCATCTGCTTCAAAGGCTATGCAATATCGCTGTGAGGTAATTCTACGTCGTCTAAACGGTCACATACCATCGTTTTCGGAATCATGCAAGTGATAGATACTCCTAGCCGGTCTCAGCTTTAGAGGGTCGGAGACTAGACTGTGTAGCACCAGTCTCAGTCTTGGTCATAATGGTCTTTCTCTAACTCTGTTTGAAGACCTGCAGGCTGACGGAATGTGGACCTAGACAGTCGAGGCCGCCTCATTTCCCGAATCCTGATTCCTTGCTAGTAGCACATTCTCGTGAACGCGACCAATACGGAACAGCACAATCTGTTAGACCCAAATTCATCCTAGTGTTGCTGCTTCCATCTATCGGAGACAATGTCTCCATACCTCAGTGACACTGTAACCGATTTTGCCGACAGTAGTTTGTGTTAGATTTTGGGGCCCGCGGTGTCGAGCGGGCCGACCCGACGCGCCCTGTGCCTAGCCGGGAGAACGATCGTAGCACGATTGCCAAGTAAAATACATCGATCCCGTAGAGTACTTGTACCGTAGCGCGGCCGTACTTGGCCCCCACGCGTTTGTAACAATCCCGCCATTTTGCTCGCTCGCGTCCGCGTTCCCACTCCCCTCGTCTCGTTCCCAGGCGAAAGTCAACAGTTTGTCCCTTGTGGATCCAGGCGCCAGAGACAGCTTACAAGGCACCGACGCCGTTTATACCAAGGCCATCCCTCCCTGATTATTTCCACGGCTTTCTTGTAGCTCCATTTAGGGGACTGGCAGTCGTTTTCAGTCCCGCCAGAGTTCTCAAGTGCGCCAAGTGGGGTGGCCCTCTCGGCAGATTTCAATCCTCCGCCATCGCAATGACCTGTTGCCAATTAATGCTATTTCCAATGACTCGTGATTCTCCACACAGCCTCCGCCATTGAAGGCTACCTCAAGTATGCCAATTCTACGCCGTGGCGCCACATCCGACCGGGCGCAAGCGCAGTATCTTTCAATCGAGTCAATTCAGCACGGGGCTCGTGATGACTGCCGGATATTGTTCTCAAGGTAATGCAGGATCTCGCCCCCCCTCCCCCCCAAATGCCAAATGGGCATTGAAAAGCCTACGCTCGACAGCGATGTAAGCCCGCAGATCCACCTCACAACGATCGGCCGCTCGCATTCTCAGCCGCCGCAAGCTATCTGAAATACTCTGCGAGAGAGCAGAATGCGCATAGCACATGTCGGGACATCGCATTGTGTGGTATGCTAGCGTGTCTGTCCGAGTCTGACGTCGGGCAGAACACCACTACTGTCACGGAGAGCACCTACATGACTCGGACATGATGATCCTGAAGGACCGTACCAATGTTATATTAGGTGTCAAACCTCGATACGATGAGAGCAGACTTCAATCGTAGCGTGAACAGATGAACCCGGAGGATAACGAGACAGGCAGTCACGATACATGGTCCCAATCTCATCATATTCGCTGCTGTCGCCCAACGGCGTCAACATCGGCGATACTGACGCCTCTTCCCGTCGCCTTGGAAGGCATTTTCGCTCCCTGTCGCATGACAATGATCTTTATCGCATACCAAGCAGTCATCTCTCTGTAAGGTATCAGCTCGGTTCAGACGCACAGCTACAGTAGGCTTGTGCCCAGACCTATTCGCGATGGTGGTTTCGTACCCAGGTACAACTACCATCGCTGGCTTCAAGCGCAGAACGGAGCGCGGCACCTCTCAACTCCAACTTGATCTACAGTAACAGACCATGCAGCCCCCGGCCCAAAATATATTTCGCCAGCCCCGCACGTTCCACGGAGAGACGAGTATCCACATCGCATTATATGCCGTCTCTCGTACTCTACATACCAAACAACAAGAACAATACAAAAGAACACCAATAAAATACCCTCAGACACCCACGCACACACTCAGACACCCACGCCCCAGCCCATCACCACGCCCACCACGCCCACGCCTGCCCACACCCACCTCCCACTCACGCCCAGCCTGCGCGCGGCACTCGCCCCCGGCGCGCCCGCCTCCACCCAGTCCCGCCACGCCGCATACATCTCCACGACGAACGCCTGCCCCTCCGGCGACGACCCGCCCTGCACCGACCAGTCGTACGGGTCCACCACCGGCGTCAGCCACATCCCCGGTGCAAAGTGCGCCAGGCCCGCGCCCGCGGACGCCGCCGGCGCCGCCGGGTAGTACGACGAGACCGAGACCGCGGGCGCGGTGGCAGTGGACGCGGACGACGTGGGCGAGGACGCGTTGTACGGCGTCGAGGAAGCAGCGGTGCCATTCGAGCTCGCGCTCGCGCTGCCGCTGGCACTCGCACTCGCGAAGGACGCCGTGCTCGCGGGCCCGACGCCGTTCCCCGTGCCCCACACGTCCGGCGCCCCCGCCCCGCTCAGCGCCCGCCGGCACTGCTCCGCGAGCGGGAGGTGCGTGTGCACGCCCGCGAGCAGCGCGACGCGGTAGACGGTGGCCGCGAGCAGCGCCGTGCTCGACGCGTCCAGGAACGTGGCCGTCTCGTTCGCGTAGTTGTGGAACAGCGAGACCTTCGTTTGCTGTGCGCGCGCGCGTGGTGAGTGCATGCAGGAAGGCACGCAGGTCGGGAGGGGAGGGGACGTACGAGGTGTGGGTACATCCCGTCCTGGATCTCGCGCACCCAGCTCGTCAGGTCGTTCATCTCGCCCTTCATGTCGCTCGCCCACGGCGAGTACTTGATCGTCGCGAGCACGCGGAGCATCCCCGCCGCTGCCCATCCATTGCCTGCAAGAGAGCGGTCCGGATATGTCACACCGCGCTGATTGGGTAGACTCACCTGTTGACCAGAATCCTGGGTCGTCATTTTCTCCGAGCAGGATGTGCTGCCAGAGGCTCGCCTTGCTGTCATACAGATACCCACGGTACAGCTTGATCTGCCAGATGTATGTCGACGTTGGCCGGTCAGGCTTATGGGCTCTGCGTGCTATGCGACACAGGAGGCTCACCTGGGTATACGCTTCGGACAGCAGACTCTGGTTCCCCGTGACTACACCGTAATACGCAAGGAAGGGCGGCACCATGTATACGCTGTCTGCCCTGTGCATCCAGCTGTCACGCGATGCCCTCGATTCTCGGCCGCGTCACTCACCAGAGCTGGACCTGCTCAATACGATGGCTAATCGCCCCGTTGCTCGTGCGCGGCACCACCTGCAGCGTGTACTCCAGCTGCTCTGTCGCTGCTCGGGCATACGTCACTGCGCTGTCGACGCCGGGATAGGGTTCTGGCGCGCCCGTCCAGTTCGCGAGGAGCACGGCCTGGCCGATGGACACAGGGTCTCCCGCTGCGCCGCCCGAGACATTCCAGAGGGGCTGTGGCTGGGACGAGTTGGAGCGACTTCCGACGACGTTGCGGGCGATCTGGAGAACGGGGGCGAGCGCGGTGAGGTTGTAGGGCGGCGAGGGCGGGAGCGACGCGTTGGCGAAGACGGAGAGCGAGGGCGCGTCGTACTCGGTGAGGGCCTCTCCTTCAGTGCCGAGTTCCCAGCTGTTGAGCAGCTAGGGCATAAACGGATGTCAATTGAGGGTACTGGAGCACGCACGTCTGCTGGGCACCGAGCCACAGCTCGTCCTGGACAGCCTGGACTTGGGCATCAGTGAGGTTTTGGGCGCGCGCCGAGGCCGCTGCGAGGGTCAGCAGGAGGACGACGCGGGCGAGAGGGGGCATCGTGGGGGTGGGCGACGCGGAGGAAGACGCGGAGCAGCTTAAGAGCGCGAGCGCGTCGAGCGCGCCACCCCTGGCATCTGACCACGGGGGTTCTAGCCAAGACCACCGGGCAGCCTCTTGCAGCCACCCCCAGATCACCGAGGCGGGGACTGGGCGGCGTACCTCCCGATCGGCTCCTGCTAGTCCATATCAAGCGCCAGGATCAGATCGTATCTCCGATCCCTTCGCAAATGGCTTGGCTTGCTCCTCGATGGATCGTCTACTACCTGAAATGCTCCTTGTGGGATTCACTGACCGTCCAAACTTGGTGAAGAAGCAACATTTGGTGTACAGATTGGTCAATGCTGACATATAGACTTGCGCACTCGTCGGTATCAAAGACAGGTCATTCAGAGCCCATCACTGGATGTGTAGCCAGGGAAAGTGCAAGCCCGGTGTGGGAGCGATGCGAGCAGCGTCATCCGAAGATGGTCGAAGGGTCGTGTGATATATGCTAGCAAGAATACATAAAATAAAATGTTTGGCCGCGATAGACTGACTATATGCGCATCGAGTATTCGCACACTGACACTACCTGATACTCAACAAAACGACGACGCGCAAAGAATGTTTAACAGCGATGCGTGCCCGAATGACCACGCGCGAGCGATGGTGCGTGTCCGATCGACAACGCGCGAACGATAATATAACAAACAAACACAACACTCGCCGTGTACGTGTGACTCTCGGGTCACTCGTCCGTACCAGCGCAGAAAGAGAGCGAGAGAGAGAACGAGAAAGCGCGAGATGATTGTGGTTCGAGGGAGAGAGGGAAGATGATATTCCTCGACACCGACGCAGGCTTTTATAGGTACAGAGAGGCCTGGATACGAGTGACATCATACCGAACCTAGGAGGAGTGAATGACGCACACTATTGCAATGGATCGCAAGAAGTCCGAAATAAAAAGACATATTCTAAATGCGGATGGAAGCCCTGTCCTGGGCACAGACAAGCGAGACTCGACGTCTCCAGATCGGCTCCACGACTGTCAATGTCTCAGCTTCTCGAAGGTGTGAGCCCCCGACGCGTCATATTTACGCTCGCGACCTGCCGCCCTCAGGTGCGTGACGACGTCGGCACCAACGATCAGCCTACGACAGCCGCTTCACCTCCCCATCGGCGCCGTCTTTGCAAGTCTTAGAGCTGTCAAGAAGGAGTAGGTACGTACTTCTGGATCGTTCTTTGGAGCGAAATAATGAAAAACATGTGAAGGAACAGGGATTAGAAGAAAGAAAGAGAAATGGAATGTACGGCACCGGACTGAAATGAGACCGGATCATCGACGTTCTTCTCCGGCTTCGACGCATTCTCCTCTACCACACCGGTGGACGAGACAGCGTGGGTGAGTTGACTCGGAGAGCGCTCTTCGGGCCGATGCAGATACAGGGCGCGTAGCACGTGTCAAGGTCGGTTTCTGTTTTCAGGCATCCCATTCCGTCTAAAGAGCGAACGGTATCGGGCTCGTTTGCGGATGTCGGGATCGGCAACCAGCTGAATGCTGGCGATGTAGATGATGAATGCAATGATCGGCACGAGGAAACGCCTTTTGTAATCAGGGGGCGAGGTCTGATCGAAGTTGTGCCTCACCAGGCGTAGCATGAACGCCACACTCTGGATGACAGTGCGTGCTAATTTCGATTGACCGCTCGAGTCGCTGCTTGGATGACTAGTCCATATCTCCAGACCGTATACCTGACAGTCCTTGCGGAAGCATTCGTGGTGGACGATATAGTCCAAGTGCGACTCGGCGAGATTTGTCGTACTGATCGTCCTCCCCACACCAAACAGCATAAAATATATAAGGTCTGCCTACAGGCGACAAGAGAAGACAATAATTTCCGTACGCACTCACCCCGCTCCTGCTGTCGGTGTCAATCTCATTTCTATGAAAACAGAGGGCCCTCTCAGAGCTGTGACCGCAAGGCTTGATCAGATCTCAACTCAGTCTGCACAGGGCGCATTGCCCAAGGAGATCACGGAGTACCGAAACGGAGGTGGATGATCACTGATTGTGAGATCACCCTTACTTTCAATTACAATTGCAGTGTGATTTGACTTGGGCTTGATAGACAGCGGGTCCGATGGACCGAGCCGCGCAATTGATTTTGACTGACCGCTTGCCCGAGCATCAAACTTCAATCATTTGAAGGACTGGAAATTTATGGAAAGCAAGGAGCGGGCAAGCGAATAGGTTGTACGACATCTAGGGCTAGGACTCACTGCTCAAGCCCTGCAGGTAGCCGTTGGTCCAGAACTGCAGTTTGTCCGCCCAAGTTCGGGCAGCCGGCGGCACGTGCTGTTGGAGGAGACATCCAGATGATGGAGAGAACACAATTAGCATGATAAAATTCTCCGGTCTTGTCGCAGTCGAACGCGATGACCTGCATGTGTATGTATGACCGCCATGCACTGCGGCACACTGGCGAGCGATTCTCATAAGTAAAGGAAAGACGAGCTGTTGTCTGAAAACAGTTTCGATGAGGTAAGTTGAAGCTTTGAAGACTCAAGTCCACGGAGTCTGAGAGTTGAGTTGAGTTATCGAATTGTCGATGCACCTCACTTGAATTAGTCTGACTCAATTTGAGGGGTCCAAACCGTAAGACGCGATTTCGCCTTACATAAGCATTTCGATCTCTGAAACGCGTCGTGTAGATCTTGAATGTCGCGACGCGTCGCAGTGCCTAAGGACGCGTCCAACATGCTTGCCTACTGGAGAATGCGATACCCGGCCGACTCGTCTTTAATATAATATTAGTATTTATTTGTAATGCTAAACCACCCTCCTAGAGAATTCTTTTAGGTCAGCTCGCCTGCCAGCTGTACCTTAGTCACAAAGTCGTAACCAACAACCTGCCATATGATCCACATGAATTTCAGCTCGAAGCTGTCTGCAAAGTGTTGAACAACGTAGACATTCTGGCTATCACTCCAACATGCTCAGAGAAAACAGGCTATATGATTATTTTCATGCTCATGGCACCTAAACACCTGGTATGTGCTGCAGGTCAAGGGAACCAATCTAGCGGTAAGAGCTCTCGGCGAACAACGGCATCGCTCGGCCATCAACCGGCAATCGCGAACAGGTCTGAAATGCTGTCTTACGGTGCGATGGGCGCATTTTAAAACAGACCTATATATAATGATCGTCGCCCCCATATAAAAAAGTTCATTATATTTATGGTCTGCCTACGGGAGACTACACTTGAATAGTACCCCGATGTCCTGTGTGACAGTGACAGCACGCGTGAATTACGTGACACGTGACAGTCGAACCGTGAGGTTTTCGTGGTGCCCTCCTTGACGTTTCTATAAAACCGCATGTTCACTTATAAGCCCGGCATTCTCGTGTCTTGTGTATCAGTAAGTCGAATATTATGAATGACTGCATGTGCCCCGTGCATTCGTGAATACCATTCACTCGAATTTGTCTGTTTCGTAATGACCACAAGCGAGGATGTGCATTCCTGAAAGCCATCAACCTCTCAGGTGACAGAAGGTTCCATTGTGCCAAGGTGATCTTACGTATGTTCACAAGCCTTCGTCTATTAACTCGATGGCATTTAGACATCATCATTAGACAGTCGGTGATACAGCGATCCCTGGAAGCATCGCTAAACACATGACTCGCGCTCTCTCCTTCGAAAATGTAGCTATATGCCGTTCTTATTCAAATGGCATCGTTGTTGTTCAGTTCTATCGCTTTGCTTACTGACGTAGATGGACACGTCGGCCTCTGAAAAGCCAGGGAAGCTTACAGGTCATTGGATATGACAGCTCGGACTGATCATAGTTCCGAGGATACTTAGCTTAGAAGATGCCCAGTTATGCCTTCAGGAACTAGAAGCCCTGTACATGAATTGAATTGTCGCGACGGCGAACGATTTCGTTTCCCATTTTCATCCGTGCGATTGTCAGCTCGGTATGGATGACTTGGATCAGCTGACAGAGGTATGCTGTCAAGGGCTCTCGATCTATGCCAGTGCTGGTTTGCAGCGACGGTGTTCCATGGCTGCTGCAGTCCCCCTACGAATATCCTTCTCTTTTTCACATACTCATCAAGGCACGTTGCTACACAATTAATATTAACCCGTAACACAGGTCTAATTCACAATACGTCTAGCTGCTGGTCGTACTCGGGTAAGCATTAATCTCATAGCCTCTGCTGCTTCACTCGTTTCGTACACGACTATCCCTTTCAGAGCCTGCCTTCGATGAAGTTTGCTGGGAGTAAACGGGCTGTCATCGAATGGTTTACACCACTCATGATGATGCATTCTAGTATCTGCTTCTTGCTCCATGTCCAAACCTTGGCCGGCATTGCAATGTGTCAAACCATACGAACCAAATTTCATAACTATCGCTGTCCCATGAATGAACGAGGACGTTGTTAGACATACTTCTCGTGCAGTCTTGTCATCCAATTGGGACGGGCTGCATGAACGCACGTCATCTTCGACCGTCGCTCCGTGTATAAAAAGCGGCGTCTGCTACTTCAGCTGGTCAGTCTCACTCGAATTCCCTCGACTCAGCAGACATGGCACCCGCTCAGCTCTCCAACGGCGTTTACCTTCGCTCTAGTACGCATTTTTCTCATACAGTCTGTATGCTTCTCAATAATCTCCACAGCTATCAACGCTTCACCCGCAACCGACCCTCAGGTCCTGTCGGCATTCGTAAGCTATTGGACCTCACGGCCTTACTATCCGTGACTCATGTCCTCGTTAGAGCTCGGACATCATCCCGCTGGGTCATACGCAGCCCGACATCGCGACCCTGGTTGCTGCATACAGTAACTTCATTGCACACGAGATCGATCCCAGCGAGTCCAAGACCCGCATCTATCTGCGTGGCAAGGCAGTCATCAATGGCGCTGCTAAGAAAGTCGAGACCCAGGTCTCGCTCAAGACAATCCCTAACGAGCTCATTCTGTGGCCGCAGGCTTGGGAGAATGCTCCCCAGATTGGCCAGGCCACGTTGAGCGCGTCTAAGGATGGTCAAGGTAAAGTCGAATAGGCAATACCGCAAGCTGAGTCGCTGATTTGTGTCCGTTTTATCGACTCCAGTTGTTGTGACCAACACTCCTATCGTGTACAACCCCACCCAGGGCCTTGGCCGCCACGACACCTTGATCGCTGAAGCGACGACTGGAGCTGCGAAGGCGTCAGCGACGACACTGGTGCAGCAGGTCCACAACTGGCGTGACCTGGTGAAGCTCGTCGGCGGGGATGCGACGCTGGCTACGTATAACGTGGTCTTCGCCGACCCGTGCTCGGCGAATGTCAGCTTGACGACGAGGCTCCGAGTGTTTGAGAATCAGGCTAGCTCCGTCAACATGGCCTTCGGAATTGAGGTATGACCTATAGATTGCGTTAAGACATGTTCTGACCGAAGTGAAACACAGGCCGTCGGGACTCCTGCCAGCGACATCCATGTCTCTTTGGTTGGCTTCGGCGCCGCGACTGGATCTAAGCCGTTCACGTTCGGACTGTCCCGTACCAACATCCTTCCTTCCAAGTTGCTTACCACGTCCGCCATTCTGCCAAAGGACTTTGACGGCACTGTGACGTTGAACGTGTTCAATGACAAGAAGCAGACGTTCGGCGACTACTCTTCCATTTCCGTGATTGCGTACGCTGTTACGGCGGTGGGCGGGAAGGAGACGTACACCACACTCGGTGCTGAGCACATTGTGTTCCACTCGGACACGCGCGTGAAGAAGGTTCTGCACAAGTTCGCCCGACTTCGTGAGGCCGATGTGGCCACTGCACCTGCATTCTATTTCAGAGATACCGTGGACGATGGCGACCAGTTCCCGCGAACAGATAACGTGTACCAGTTTTCTCCTGGTACGTATATATCAACGTGAGACCACAATTCTTCTGATCTTTCCGTGTGTAGACATTCAGCCTTGGGGAACGCTGCCGGATGCTAATGTGCAGTCTGATTTGGGTCCGGCCAACTACAAGGTCGACGTGTCCTCGAAGCGTAACGTCGTAAGTGCTTGCCGCTGATTCGTCAATGAAATCCAACTCATACGTACACAACGCAAACAGGATGTGGTTGCTAACCTGTCTAACTACATCTATTTACGTGGTACCACCACAAGGCCGACCTCTGGCGCCGTGCGGTTGTTTGCCATACCATCAGCCGTGCTCGTGTACCCTTCACAATACAGTACTAAGGGACACATCATCTATGACCACACCTCCGGTGGTGATCCTGTAGTCGCTATCAGGAAGTACAACACAACCTCGCCCGAGGCTCCAGTTCTCTTCTCGGAGCCGTTCAACTTCTCCGACCCTCCTCCGCCTCCCGGAGGGGACCACTTCTGTCTCATTGCAGAGTGCAAGCCTGATGGTCTCGACGTGGATGGTCAACCCTACGAGTGGCCCCATGAGGAAACTGGAGACTTCGCCACGGCTGCAGAGTACGCTGCTTGGATCCGGAGTTGCCCATGCGTGTGCCAGCGCAACATCTGCTACATCAGCAACCCGAACGCGCCGTCCCAGGTCTTCTATACGAGCTTCACCATTCCGGGTGAGTATTCACATCGTTGCAGAGTAAAATTGGTATTTTACCTCGTGCGTCCATTGCAGCATCGTTCAGTGCCTCCGACGTCTGGATATTCCAGGTTCAGGCCCTCAATTGCCCATCAGGCTCCTACATGTGTGTTACTATGGATCTCCTCTTTATGCAAACGCTCACAGCATGCACAGCGAAATGGATTCCAGCGATGCAGACATCAAGATCGGAAAGTTGACCATCACCGGTTCTGACCAGGTATGAGAATAGACTACGGACGTTTTGAACCATCTGATGTCAAACAATCACAGACTGCGGGTGCAGAGTTTACTGGGAAGGCTCCCGGCTTCACCTGTCAGGTGGTCATCCGCTGGTATGCCAATGGGACAAAGGTTCAGGACGGACAGAAGATCACAGGTAATCTCGCGCTCCAGCTGTTGGCGACATCGTAAGCGAAGTTTTCACCTAGGGCGACGTGACGTTTGTCTCATTGGACATTTCCAGGATAACGGGCGACGAACTGTTCAGGCGCCGCAACACCGGGAAACCGAGCGCCCCCGCTGTGCGCACAGTCACGCCCGACTACCCGAATGTCAAGATCCCCGGCGAGGACAACACTGGCGAGAAGCAACCGCCCAAGATCGGCGGAGCGCACCCCCGCCGTGTTTTGGGCGAGAAATACAGGCTCAATGCGGCGATTTACATCGATTACATCATAGGAACTGACGGTATGGGCTACAATCTCGCGTTGGCTTGAATCTGTTTCTGGCTTGGGTATTCTGTGTGCCATCTGTCGCCTTTTAGCATGGCAGAATACGCTCTATGACTCGTTGCCTCCATATCTGTACAATATGTTGTAGTGATTGAGTGTTACTGCCTGCGATCTTGCTGTCGTGTACGATACGTTGGGCTTTTGGCTAGCTGTCGGTTCCTGATGCGTGTTGTTCAGTGGCGTGTCTTTTTGTCGTATAAAGCCTGTACTAGTATGTCTTGCCGCGACTGACACTCACGTATTCGTACCTTGACGTTTGTGGGAGCAAAGCATAGTGATATATGCAGCATATAGTTCAGAAATGAACTGTTCAAATAACGCAACACCGCCGAACTCAGTGCGCCAGTCGTCCACAACGTCGCGCCTGCCTACCCCAACGTCGAGGTTCCCTGTGAGGTGGATAACAAGGGGAAGAACCCTCCCAAGATTGGTGGAGCGCACTCTAGTCGTTGCGTTGGCGAGAAGTTCGCAGCCGAGGCCATCTACATAATATAACCTCGGATTGGCGTCAACCTTTCGCTTCGCTTGTATCCTCGCGATGCTTTCAAGGTGTTATGTTCTTTTCTGAATTTGATTAATGTTCAACTGACAATTGAGGGTACTGGAGCACGCACGTCTGCTGGGCACCGAGCCAAAGCTCGTCCTCGACAGCCTGGACTTGGGCATCAGTGAGGTTTTGAGCGCGCGCCGAGGCCGCTGCGAGGGCGAGCAGGAGGACGACGCGGGCGAGAGGGGGCATCGTGGCGGTGGGCGACGCGGAGGAAGACGCGGACTTGCTTAAGAGCGCGAGCGCATCGAGCGCGCCACCCCTGGCATCTGACCACGGGGGTTCTAGCCAAGACCACCGGGCAGCCTCTTGCAGCCACCCCCAGATCACCGAGGCGGGGACTGGGCGGCGTACCTCCCGATCGGCTCCTGCGAGTCCATATCAAGCGCCAGGATCAGATCGTATCTCGTGAGGGGCTTGGCGTGCGCGTCGCTGAAGTGCTCCTTGTGGCATGTGAGTCTGTCACTGACCGGAGAGCGCCTACCGAGAGCAGTGCGATAAACGCCGCTGTCAGAAGATGGTGCTCTCGCGCACGCTCTCTTCCGATCGCTCATCCGCGATCGCACGACGCGGCGCTCTGCTTGCATGCCCTGCTCGCTCGACACGGCGCTTGCCAACGTCTGCCTGTAGCTAACGGCGCTCGTCCACAGCCAGCTCGACAGCCTCCCTCACCCAGCCTCGGCCCTTTGCGCATCCCAACTCTGTCTCGTCTCTCGCCTCCCTGCTGCCCTCGCGCCCTCGCGCCCTCGCGCCCCACGACCCCCACTCCTCCAAGTGTTTCCCTTGTGCCTTGAATCTGCCAACCCACGGCGAACACCCTTACGCGCATGCTCTCCGCGCAGTCCGGCTCCGGCAACGGCAAGGACGCGCCCAGCAAGCAAGCGGCTCCTTCTCGTGCAGATGGCTGAGCGACCGCGGACACTCCAAGGAAAAGAGCGTCCGGGTACCGGGGTGCGCTTGAGCTCGTTCGCCGCCACAAGCGGCGCGGCATGCGGGCGAACACATAGCCAGCAGCGCGCACGCATGCGCGACCCGTCGGCGCGCTGTCGGTGTCGGTCGACGTGCCAGATCCGCTCGGCGAGGGCGTGAACGTCGTCGTGCCGCTGAACCGCAGCGCGCACAATGCGAGGCGTCGCAAGAGCGTGCGGGCGGACCCGCTCCCGCTCAACACGCCGTGACCGGTCTTCCAGTGCGACCGGCGCACGATCACGCTCGTCCACGGCGATCCCGCACGCATGCTGGAGGAGACGGGAAGGCGGCGCAGGCGCTACGTCCCCGCAAGCAACTTAGGTGACGAATGCGGGTCCGTGTTGCGCGTTGGTCCTCGGCGGCGGCATGCTCACAGCGCACCGCTTTGCGTGCGCCGAGTAGCTTCCATGAACTTTGTGCGTGCCCGCATACCTAGTGGTCTCTGCAGAGCACCCCGGGGCTGAATATGCACAGCGTGCGCTCGGCCTGGACGCGGGGGCACAACTCTCTGTGCGCCGCCGCTTGTACTTGTACTGACTCCCGCTGTCTAATACACTCCCGGACACAACACCCACATGAAGTAAGGCGGAAGCGGTGATGTCCTGCAGCCGCATGCAACCGCGCGCACAACGCCAGGACAGTGCGCAGCCCGCGCAAGACCCGGCACGCTCGCACAGACGGGTGCACATAGCACCGAGAGTGTGCTCCCCAGGCGCGCGGAAATAACAACGCAACACCAGGTGGAGCGCGGGCATGGTCAGGCTAATGCACGGGACGCGGACGCACACATTCACGCCCGCGCCGCATCGTGCTCTCCGGGTCAAATCGCGCGGCGGGTATTTCAACCGCAGTCCCTCCCGCATCGTGTCGAGGCCTGCGAGCCAGCCGTTTACTCACGCCGCCCGCGCGTATCGCTCAGGGGGCCCGCCTGCACTACTTGCGCGCCGCGGCAGCATCTTCCGCCACCCCACCCTATCTCAACGCGACAAGCCCAGGATCAGCAGCCCGCACACGCGCACGGATTTGCACCCATAAGCACGTTAGTATACAATCTAACGGCCTGCTCACACGCGCATCGGCACAGCTAACGAAATATGACGCAGACGGAGGGTAACCTCTACGCAACAGTCGCCACCGCGTAAATCCCCGTTCTCGCAGCACTCCATCCACGATACCTGCGCCCATGCCCGCGCCCGCGCCCGCGATCTGCCAACCTAATCACACCGTAAGCACAGCGTCGACCACAACAACAGCGGCCTGCGACCGCGCTCACCGTCGTGGGCCTTCAGAGTCCTTCAACGTCGGCCCACGTACCTGCAGCATATCAAAGTCAGTACAGACAGCATGCATAGGTGCCGTAGCCAGACACTATCGAGACACATACCAGTCAATACCGGCGGATTCACGGCCAGGACACGACGACCCTCCACCCATCTCCGGCCCTCCTTATATATTTCCTGCTCTGCCCCCTTCCCGCATTGCGAACCCACGCACGGACGCTCCCTTCCCCGCGTCACGGCGCCCAGCCCCGCCGCGTACCTAACGCAGCCGCTCGCGTAGCCTCCCGCAACACCCGCACCCGAGCTCCGCGCATCTCGGCCGGCGCGCGCGCCTGGGCTTCTCGCGCGTCGTCGTGACGCCTTCCACCATCGGACCAGACATGCATCCCTGCACGGAGAATCCGCAAACGGCAAGACGCGTGCGCACGCGCGAGTTCCGTGCACGCGACGCGGACGGTCGTCCGCCTGGCAACCTGCTCGCGGGAGATCTTCCGTGCGCAGGGCAAGGCTCGTGCGTCTGCCAACGGGACGTCGTGCCCGCGTGTGGTCAGCGCGCGTGTGTGGTCAGCACGCGATCCTGGCCGCTGCCCCGGGCGCCACATGTCCGACTGCCGACACACGGTCCCCGGGGTGGGGGCGTAACATCCGTGTTCTGTTGCTTTACACGCACCCCGAGTCGCGCGCGGGGCTGCGGCACAGCGCGGGATGCATGGCAGAGGACGCGCATGCTGTTTCGCACGTTGCGCGCGCAATGGGGGAGTGCAGTGCGAGCGCGCAAGCTCGCCCCCGCCCCCGTCCTCTGCAAGGCCGGTCAATCCCGTCATGCAGGCGCGACGCGCGTGTGCGCGAGGGCGCGGGATATCCTGCCCGCATGCGACCACACAAGCATGCGGGCAACGGCTGTGAGCAACGCGAGTCGAGTCGAGTTGAGACGCGGCCGGGAAGCGATGTCACGCCGGGGGTGCGCGGGGGTTGCCTTTGGCGGCGTCTGGACTGTGCCAAGGCGGCAGGCGCGTTGGTCGCGGTCGGCACGGGGACATTTGATGGCGTGGTCCGACAGCGCGCCACCCCGGTCATGGCGGGGCGGCATGATGACGGACATGCAGGGCGTCGTACTCCTCTGTGCGCGAGCGAGGCATTACACACGGACGTCGCGAGGAACAGAACCCGGACTGCACGTCGTGTAGGAGAGCGAGCGAGTCGGTGAGCGAGCGGGTGAGACGGTGCACAGACAGGCGTGCCCGCGTGCACAGACAGCAGCGGCGGGAGTCGCTACAGCATCCGCAAGTGAGATGACACCAGGTGCAACAGCCTCGCGCACCCACGAACAAGGGCTGCCTCTGCCCTCGTTCGGACTGCTGCATCCCGACATCGCGGGTGTGCCATTCACCGAACAGACAGTGCCCGTGGTACGCAGAACTGACGATGCAATGAAATCTTGTGGGTTCGATCGCACGTCGTAACTTGCGCCCGTCTCTCGCTTGCGAGCGCTCTCTCCGGCTCGTCCTCTGTGTGCTTTCGGTTCACGCTGCTCGACGCCTTTCGTCTGCGTTCTGCTGCTGCTTGCCTCCCGTCGCGCTCTTGGCTTGCCTCTGCTATTGGTGTCCGTGCTACTGCCCTCCCGCCCGTCCGCTCTGCACGCGCTCGTCCCGCCACGACCCAGCCAATCTGCCCTACCGCTGCTGCCTGCCGTCTCCCCTGCGTCCGCGCACGAACATTCGTCCGCGAATCCAAGTATTCCTCCGATGCCGCTCACCTAGCCGTCACTCCGCGCGCCGTGCCTGGTTTCTACTGCCGAACATTTATTCGCTTGTCGACCGCCAAGCTGCTGTTTCACCCCGCCGCCGGTCAGCACAACTAGCGTGCTGAACGCAATACATGCACCAAGTACTACAGGCACAGTGCGGGCGCATCAGCTCGCAAAGCCTATCTTAGGCTCGTCTCAGCCTGCCTCTCGCACGGTAGCCGCTTCCGCGCCTCCGCATCGTCCCGCCAGGCGACCGGCTCCCTGTTCCGCACGTGCGGGGCCCTGCTCGTCGTCCCCTTGACCGGTGCACATGGTGTGCGCGCACACCCCCTCTTGGCTCGCCCAGACACCTCCCCCGTCATCTGCTGCTTACACTGCGCGGCGGGGCAGCCCCGCCTATCTGCACGCTCCTGGCCCATTACGCCAGCCCAAGCTGCGGCATCGCACGACCGCACGCGGGTGTTCACGACGTGCATCCCGCCCACATCGATGCTCTGACGCCCAGCTTCGTCCTGCCTGGTTGCGACGCCGGCAGACTGCGGCCAGTGCAGCCAAGACGAGCGCGGTAGGCCAGACGACACCTGGCGTGCGTCGCGTTGCGCGTGCGGCGCCGTCTGAACAGCCTCGCTCAGCTCCTGATGGTGGTGTCCGCCATCTTCCATCCGTGTGCGGCGAGCGCAGCATTCCGCTGCGCCCACATGCAGTCCCGTAGCAGACGGATGGCATGTTGTCGTTGGTCCCTTCGGTCTCCCACAGCCCGGTCACTCCACCGCAGCCCGGTCATCCCCCGTCCTCTCCCGACTTTGTGCACCGCATCCACGGCATGCAACACGAGAAGGACGGTGTCGCGCATGCTTCAGAGCCTGCACGCTGCCCATCCGGATTGCCCGCCGTGCAACGCGATCCCGTGGCGCGCAATACACACAGTGTGCAGCGAATGACCCACGGTGGGCCCATAGGTCAATGACGCGTCACTCGGACATCGCACGCCGCACGCCGCACGCCCCTGAACGAGCCCCACGCGGAAAAAGGCACCAGACGCGTAACGCACGGAGACATTCTGAATCTCCCTCGCTACATCGCCAATCAAATGGGGGCTTGCATCGTCGGCGCACGGAGATCTGAGTGGCCCGCGTGATGGTAAGTCTCGCGTCTCATGCTCTGGATCTGACGCCTGACACTCCCCGCGGCGGCATTGGTAGTGGTAGGTTCTGGAGCCGGTCAGTGCACTGTCCTGCTGCGAGGCATGGACGACGCGCAAGAATGCAAACACCCCGCGCGTGCCAGAGTTCGCGCACTGCCCCACCAGATCACCCGCCGCGCAACGCGCTCCGGCGCCCAGCAAGATGCAAAGTGTGCAGTCAAAGGCCTATAGTGGACTCGCAGGTCAGTGACGCGCCGATTGGCTCACGCTGCACGCTGCACGCCGCTGCACGGAAAAGGCGACCGGACGCGTGACGCATGGAGACGGTTCACGTCTCCCTCGCGACATCGCTAATCAACCGAAGCCTTGCCCCCGGCACTTGCGTCATCGGTGCGCGAAGATCTGAGAGGCCCACATGTCGCAGCCACAGCGTCGTGCAGCTAGGGCCAAGGTGCGAAGCCTGCCTGCCGCGGACACCCCCGCCGCAGAATGTACTACAGAGTACACTATGTATGGTAAGTCCCGCCCCACATGCTCTGTACCGAACACCTGACACTCCCCGCGGCGGTGTCTGCAGAGGTATGTTTCTGGACGCGGTCAGTGTGCTGGCCCGATGCGAGGCACGGACGACATACCAGAATGCAAACATCACCTGCGGCACACAATGCGAGAAGGACACGGTGTCGCGCACGCGCCAGAGCTCGCGTGCTGCCCGCCCAGTTCACTCCCCGTGCAACGCGCTCCGGTGCTGCGCAAATCTCAAAGTGTGCAGTGAAAGACCCACAGCAGACTCGCGGATTAATAATGCGCTGCTCGGTTGTCGCACGCTGCACGCCTTTGCGTAAGTCCCACACAGAGACGGTCCATGTCTCCCTCACTACATCACTAATTAACAGACGGATTTCCCCTGGCACTTGCATCGTCAGCACGCGGAGATTCGAGTGGCCCATGTGTCCGTGGTGGCACTGCTGCAGAATGTGCTACAGAATACGTTACGTATGGTAAGCCTCGCCCCGCACACTCTGTGACCAACACCTGTCACTTCCCACGGCGGCGTAAATAGTAGTAGATCCTGGCGGCGGTCAGTATGCTCTCCCAATGTGAAACACGGATGATGCACCGGAATGCAAACAACTGGCTGCGCTGTGCAAACCACAACGGCTGTGGGCACATCATCTGTATGTAAGGCCTGGGCCCTATGTGGACAGTCACTGCATCGCGAACACTGGCAATCTGACAGAAAGAGACATGCGGCAGGGAAGCTGATGCAAGTCAAACGAGATAACGGGGGCATGTATGATCTGCCACCATTGTCCAATCAAACACAAATTGCGTGCCCAGTGGCAAGCGAGAGAAGCAAGCCAATGCACAGACATTTTCCGGGTCGCGACATCACCTCTTTCGATGCAGATCTTGTAGAAACGAATGTTGGCGTCGGGTTCAAATGAGCAAGCGCGAGGGTATACGGAAGCGAGTGTCGTGAGAGAAGATCAATTTACGAAGCAGTTTGTCTCGTCCTCGGGGCAGGGAGGCAAACACGCGAGGAAACTACATGTGGGAACTCGACCTAATATAGTAAACCCTTATCTACTTAAGGTACGAAGGAACAAGGTACTATCGCGCTGCAGCGTGGCACATTGGTGAGCCGGTAGTCGGGCATGTGCTCGCCCGGTTGTTCCAACAGATCTCTCGAAGCAAAAGGAGCACAGTGTGCCCACAGTCGGGCAGACATGTAACCAACTCAAAGGCTGGTGTCAACAGTACCTACGACATAAGCGAGCATGAACAACAACTTGGCTGTCTAGAACTGCACAATGTCCGGAGGTATGGATTTCGAGACTCACACTTGGGGCGGGGACAAACAACTGTGAAGAAATGAGGCAGTGGGGTCTGATGGCATACCACTCCAGTCATGGATAGTATCTCCGTGAATTCATCAGCGGTTGATCACATTTGATGAAACCGCAATGACTTGTTTCAGAAGATTCAATCAGAAGCATTTCCTTTCCGGGCATGCAAACATGTACAAATTTGTTGTGACCGTTACTGCCAATCATATATATTAATCATATCAAATCATCTGTCGGTGCTGTGACTATGCTGTCCTTATGCTCGTAAGTGCTGCCACTATCTGTTATACACCCTGCCGACCACACTGTGACTTGTCAAATGGGCTGTCACCGACTGACAACTCGAGTGTGATGCGGTTTGCCAACTTGCTGACCGGGCCAGAGGTTTGCACGAGTCTGTGCTGACCGGCACTAGGCTCAACAATAGCACCTGGGCAGTGCCGGATAGCTCTATGTCAAGACACAAACCATGTCAGCAAGAGGTGATCTGACCATATTCTTGATGATCAGCGCAGGGTTGCGGTAAGCCGGATCTTCATGGATGAGAGTGACGGGTCTAAAGTATCACAAGCAGATGGCACAATACACATGAACATGATGCACGCAATCTTAATGAGGCTGAGCGAACTGGGGCTGGAACGAGCTTCGGTTCTGCATCACGTATATAGCAAAGCATACATGGTGAGTGATCTCTATTTATGACAATGGGCGAGAACTAATAACATTGGGAATATCATGAATATGGCCAGGCACACGTCTACATTGCACCGCTCCCGACTGTGCCTGCGTGCCTGCGCATGGTATGTTCAGGTGTGCTTGCTTGTCAATGCGCGAGTTGGGCCGGGGTAGAATTACGAGTGTAAATGATAAGGCAAGCTGCTGCATTAGTGATTTGTGGGGACACGGCGAGGGCTGATGCTGATAGTGGCTGATTAGTGCGAGTCGGCTGTAGGCTGTTTTGCACAAGAGACAATCTCTGATGAGGGAGAAGACTGTTCTTTGCATGCGCACAGCCCTCATTGGAAGAAAGGAAACATGGGCGAGAGGGCTGTTCTTTGCGTGAATGCGAAGGACAGCCCTCACGGTGGGGAAAGAGACAAGGGGAAAGAGACAAGGGGAAAGGCACAAGGGGGAAAGGCAACTCTTGATCTTACGGCAGTCATGACAGCCTCAGGACTTCACCTCACAACAGCCTCGGGACTTTGCACAATAGACATGCAAATAAGATATATTTCGTTCGCGGCTTACACGCCTCACCCCGCACGTACTTCGCGGGACTCTCCTCCTCATCCGGCTCTCTGTCTGAAGGGTCCTCAAGGTCGTAGTCTGCCGCATCATGCATGATGCTGCTGCTGGACGTGGGCAAGGATGTGTTGTATGGTGTCGAGGAAGCCGCGGTGCCATAACGTCGGCAGGAGGTGACTTGTCCCACATACCCCAATCAAATGCGCTGCGCGAACGATGGCATCAAGATGGATGACACCAACAGACCGGTGACCATCCTCGTCGAAGTCTGGCTCAACGATCCACATCCCTGTGTCATTGTCTGGCTCCTGGCTCACAGGGGAGAACCATTCAACCAGCGCACAAGGGTATTTGACTTGCTCATAAGTGAAGGAAAAGAAAAGGTGTACTCATGCTGCAAGCAGCCCTCGAAATCCGTCTGTGTCATTGTTGTTCACAAAGACACAGTCATAGCGCCCGGGACCCAATCACCATGACGGGGTGGTGTGAATACGCTCGTGGCGCATGCCCGCAATACCGGAGAGGTCACTAGGAGCATAGAAGGTGGCGGAGGCGGAGTGGACGACGTAGACACACCCAGTGTGGATTGGGCAGTCGGCCAGTGGGACGTCCTCAGTGTTCGGTGTGTTGGGGTCGTCCCGGTGGGTCTGTTCGAACAGGAAGTGGGAGACAAGCTCCTCCAGTGCCGGCTGCCCAATAGAGGCTGCCAGCCCTTCAAGTGTATGTGGGTATCCTTGTGCTACAAGGCTCGCATGAGTGAGGTATCACAGATCCAGATAGGGGACGTACCTGCACGGCGTGCTAGATCAACGTATGCTAGCAGCTCTCGGTCCTCCACTGGCCCAGTAGCATCCCGCTTACAACTGGTGGCACGGCGTCCACCATTCTGGCCCTCTCGCATGCCAGCCACATTGACATGGTTGTCGTTGGTATGATCCTCGATGCCCGGGGGGTAGTGATTGTCCTCGTCATCGCTGCTTGACTCGTCATCAGAACTTGAGTCATCATCTGATGATTCATCGTCGTTGGTTGACTCGCTGTCCAAATCTGAGCTGGATGCACAATGTTCAGCTCGGACAGCTGTTGCAAACATCAGTAAGCCTTTGAATCGAAATAATGAGCCCAGTACTCACCTGCAGAAGCCTCCAGTGTGGCTACACGTTCTCTCTCACGCAAAGCCTCCATCAGCACTGTCCCATGTAGCATGCCCCTCGCAGAGAAGTCCTTGCGCACAGCCAATAACTTGTCGAGGCGTTGATTCGTGAGAAGCATCTGTCCGAGTGCTTCAAACCGATTCGATTGGCACCATGGCTCCTTGACAGCCTTTATATGTTTTGATTCAGTAATGGACAAGCAGAGGCCATTTGGGGCCCCGAAATTGCGGGAGTGCTGCAGGTAGTGATCGAGGGAGTGCTGCCGGGGTAAAGAGAACCTGTCAGAGCGTACTCCTGTTGTCTCAAAGATCTTGCGATAGTCATGGAAGCAGCCCAGTGCATCCGAAACTTCTCGTAGTGTGCGCTCTGTGAGAGTAGAGCGTCGGACTAGATAGTAGAACTCAAGGAATGCTGAGAATGTTCGCACTATGTCAGTGGGTACCAGACCTGCGATGGCAGGCAGATAAACCTGAGGACAGTCTTTGTCAGATAAGCGCAAATGCCAGGTGATGGGTATGTGTCCGTACCTTCATCAGGGCTTTTGAGTCATCGCCTGTCCACTGTTTGAAGTCACGACCCTCGGGAAAGCGCCTCAGTCCCGAGAAGGGCGGCACAGCAGCTATGCTATACGATTTGATAAGCAGACTGTTCTCATGATATTTTAGCTTGCACATGTACCGGCGGTCGATCTCGTCAAGAATCTTCTTGGCCTCACTCTCTCCATGCTCGAGCACCAAATATTCATGCACCCACGTCACCAGATGGTCATAGAAAGTCCCCTTGATGATTTGATGCAAAAGGTCGGGGGTCATGAGCTGATTGATATTGGCATGTGGGAAATCATTGGTGAATGGCTATAAACACATTCTCCATGAATCAGCACATGTATGACATCATGAACACAAGTGAGACTTACAATGATGTCACCCATGATCCCATAATCCTCCCACAGGGTGACCAAGTCCAGCGTGGCAACTAATGCTTGTGTGTGCTCGCGTGTGCGCAGGCCATGGGTTCCACCATCTCTGAGAGCAGACCTGTGCGCAGAGCAGCTATTGAATGTGGTTCGACATCAACCTCTGCTAATATGAGACAATCAGAGTACTCACATTACACACCAGCCCTGAACAATGCACCCAGCGAGTGTTTGTTCCGGATAATCCGCAATATATGGACCTAGACTGTATATCACCCACCTGAAATGTCTGTCAGGGCAGCGCGTGACTTCCGGAACTGACATGGCAGCACGTAACGGGCTCAATATAGTAGAGAGACTTGCGTGAAAGAGTTGACGATGAAATTTGCGGAAGCAGGCACTGTTTCCATACTGCCGTTCACCTGTGATAGTGGCTATATGAGTACCTAACTACAAGAAGTGCTGAAGGTCCTAACTTACTTTTAGGGATGGCTAGAAAGCCAATCACAGCAATCGCGTTACGGTGTGCACGCCGCACATTGTTGAACACATTATCAATGGACATGTATAGTGGCCAGTACTCGTTATGGCCGGTTGCAACAGAAACCGTTGTTTTGTCGCTCCCAAGAATGAGAGGGACAAACATCGCGCCGTGTGTTGTCGGATCTTGCGCAATAATATCCTAGACAGTGGGACATGTAAGTATCTGAATGTGATGAACTCGGGGAACATATACTGACCACTTGCTTCCATGCCCAGTTAGCAGACATCAGATTTGAAAAGCACCGCTCGTTGTCGACAAACTCCCAGTAGGGGCTATAGTCGAATTCACCCTCAAAGTCGGAATTTGCAAGCATATTGTGTGCAATGGTACGTGGATCTCAGCACCAAATTTGATATTCGGCAGTCATCCATGGTGGTGGCTGAGTGTCGTGCGGAAGCTCGCCCATGTACTTGGCAGAAAATGACTGCCAAGGTGCATTGCCGTGCTGGATAGTGTCGATAACAGAGTGCATGTCAGAGGCACTTGCAAATGGAGGCTTCCCACCGTAAGGCAATCATGACGCAGCCCATATGTCCATGAGGTCGTTGATGTTTCCCTGAGACATCTGTTCGCGCTTGAATAGAAACTCAGCAGTTTCAAATTCAACACGATCACTGAATGGTGTCCAGTCACCTTTCATGGTGGAAGTACAAGGAGATGGGGGAGCATCAGGAGGTAGATTGACACCATCCTTTGAGCAGGGTGTACCTATGCATCCGAAATAGTGTCAGCTCCAAAACCATTGGGAAGACACAGGTAATGTACCAGTAACAAAGGGATGATGCTCGTGAATTGCATAGCTTTGATTGTTGTCAGGGGCCAGGTGTTCAGCGGCCTGAAAATCTTCGCAGTTTGGTCCATCAGCAAGTGGGTCTGCCAGATGAGTTTCAGAGTGTTCTCCACATCAGTGGACCACATTGACATGCTGTGTGAGCCCTGAAAGATTCCTGCAGAGACGTGGACAATGAGGGCATTGAAGACGATAGGGATTGTGTGGACGATGGCGGGGCTGAGGAATCATTGTAATCCAAGACAAGTCAGATGTGCCAGTATGGTGCTAGATAAGAGAATGTGCTAGAAAACAGCATGGCACAATGGGTCTATGCGCATGATTTTGTTATTTTGACTCTGCCCTGTTCCAGTGTGATCGTTCAGCCCCATTGCCATGAAACATCATAGTGTTGCCAGTCTACGCATGCTTATAACTTGCTTCTGCACTCACTGTCCTGTATCCCCCCGTTATAGCTTTCTTGTCCTTACCTGCTCTCACATCCTGAAAACATGGTCTATGAAACATTTGTCTTTCCGCTCTATTCCTTGTACTACTAGCGCCCATACTGGCACCTGTCTTAGCGCTCACCCACAGGTTGAACATTATGTAGCTTACATAATGGGGTGCACACTTCGTACTCGGCATCGTACCACTACGTTTCTTTCTTTACTAACACGACCACATAGACACGATGGTCCGTGCATAGTTGGTACTTGTATAAGTAGCTGTACCATTAGTCGGTCGAACCCTAAGTTCGACCTGGTTATCCATTCAAGTCTCTGCTCCTCTTCGCTTGGGGTAGTGGTCATTCTTGACTTCCTCGCTCGATCTTCAGGACGACGTACTGTCCATAAGCCCTTGCTCGTCGTCTACGAGTCAGGCATCAATATAGGAGTATAGACCGTTGTATCAAAAGGTCGAACTTTCTAAGCTATGTTCCTAGTTTCACCTAGTCGAACATCTCATCCACCATCACGTCGAACAACGCAGTCAACCCAGTTCCTTTGGGACTACCAGCCCTCGCAGGATCACCGCTCCTCCAATACGACCGAGCAGATCGCTGCTTCGTCACCTCCACAAAAAGAGCTCCCATCTACCCTCGAGGCGGCACCTGGTGTCGTGCAACCGGTCCAAACCTGCAGGTCGTCGCCCATCAAGAACTCGTTAGCTACTACCAGAGACACCCACCCACTCACCCAGAAGACGTATTCACCACCCTACGGATCAACGTCGAATCTACACAAACAGCAGAAAGCGTGCAGTCACCCATCAACGAACAACCACTCGAACTCCCTGAAGTTCAGTACGTTCCCATCGAAATCCCAGACATCGAACTACCACCAGCCCCACCCGCACCAACCAATGCACCGGTTGAAGCCCCTATGGCAACATTCACTCAAGCAGACATCAATCAGTGCATCACTGTCGCCCTCGCAGCATACCAATCCCAACAGTCAGCTGCCAACCGACCCCTTTGCCTCGACATCCCCGCTCCCGAACCTTTCAGCGGAAAGGCGGAGGACCTCAGACGCTTCATCCAATGCATCCTCTCCTACTTCGTCGCCACCAACAACACCCGACTCAGCGATGAAGCAAAGATCGCCTTCACTGTAGCGCTGATGAGGAAGGATCTGGGGAAAACATGGGCGGACACATATTACAAAAAGTCGGCAGGGGGAGTCCAGGTCTATTCCACTTGGGCAGACTTCGTTGCCGCTCTAGAAGAGGTGTTCCCTGAGCATGGAACGCGAATCAAGGCACATCAAATCCTGATGAAACTCCCTGAACGACAGAAGGATAGGAAGACAGCGCTCTCCCTCGGTAACTACGTCACCCGCTTCGAGCAGCTAGCATCGAAGGCTCAGCTCAAGGACGCCGAGGTCAATGGCACCAACCGCGTCGAGAACGACTACCACACTCTCCATGCCAACTTCGTCAAAGGACTCCCGAAGGAGCTGTATTTTGCGCTCGCAACAAGGGTCGCTAGGGACTGACCCAACACCATGAAGGCCTGGTACGACGAAGTTCGAAACACCGACGCAGCCAAGCAGGGGGCTCTCGTCGTCACAGACACCAGGGACTATGGCAAACCAATGGATATCGATGCCGCTGCAGTCGCGGCAACCTTCGCCTCCACATCGGGAGGAAGGAAATGGGAACTAGGAGCCGCTCTCAACGAGGCCGATCGGAAGCTCCACAGGGACGGGAACCTGTGCTTCTACTGCCACATCAAGGGCCACAGCGCCAAGGATTGCCGCAAGAAAGCGGCCGCACGACAAGGGGGTGGGAGGCCGAACCAGGGAGGATCTGGGAAGGACGACTTCCGCGCCAGAATCAAGACACTCTCCGCTGACGAAAAGCGGGAGCTGTACGAAGAACTCACGATGGAGGATTTTTGAAGGGGCAGGGTGAGCCGACGCAACCACTGCCCGTATCCGTTTCACTGTCCCGTGTAATTTTAGTAGTCCGAAATGAACGCGCTCTGCACATTCCGATTACTGTGGGACGAAAAGACGTCGAGGCGCGCACTTTCATCAATAGCGGCACAACAGGAATCTTCATCAGTCCAAGATTCGTCCGAGAGCATTGACTTTGGACAGAACCTCTCCCCCGACCCATCCCCGTCTTCAACGTGGATGGAACTCCGAACAAAGAAGCACTTATTACGCGAAGAGCTCTCTTATCCTACAAAATAAGCGGAGAACCCCGATTCATCAAAGCCTACGTCGCCAGCATTGGCAAGGAAGACATCATCTTCGGCCATACCTGGCTCAAGCTCGAAAACCCCAAGATAAACTGGAAAACCGGAGGAGTTGAACTAAACCACCGATGGACGAAAGATGAGACAAGGGCCTGGAAGATGGACCTGTACCAAAGGCGAGTGGCTCGGCTAGAACTGAAGAAGGCCATAACTACCCCACTCCCAGAACCAACAAAGGACGAATTCATCGTCATCTCCACCTCGGAACACGCAACCCTCCCCGAACGAAAGACTAGTAGCGCAGCAGGATACGACATCTCTGCTGCACATCAACTCATCATCCCTGCCCGACGACGAGGCCTGGTCGGCACTGATCTTATCATGGCTATCCCCGAAGGACACTATGGAAGAATCGCACCTCGATCCGGCCTAGCACTAAAGGAAATCGATGTCGCTGCAGGAGTAATCGACTCCGATTACCGAGGCAAGGTCTCAGTCCTGCTGGTCAATAACTCTGACCTCCCATTCACCATCAAAGCCGGCGACCGAGTTGCCCAGCTCATCC